GGGGGGGGGAGCGGGAGGCCGGGCGGGGGGACGGCTTTGGCCGGTGCACACGGCGGTGGCTGTCACCTGCGTAGGGGCTGCAGGTAGGTCACGGGGCGGCGGCACCGGACCGGACCGGACCGGACCGGACCGGACCGCTCCCCCCCCGCCGGGGCCGCTGCCCGCGCCGACCGCACCGGACCGGCTTGGACCGGACCGGGACCGGCTCGGGCCGGACCGGGGGGGGGGCGGTTGCCATGGGGACGCGCTGCGCCCCCCGCCCGGGCCTGGTCCGGGCCTGGCCCGGGGCCCCTCCCGCCTCTGCCCCCCCCGCAGCCCCCAGCGCCCCTCCGTTCCCCCCCGCGTCCCCGTTTTGTGCCTCTCCCCGTTCCCGCACATCCCAGATCCGAGCCCCGCTCGGGGAGCACCGGCCGGGCGGGGGGCACGGTGGGGCCTGCGGCCGCTCGGGTCCCGTCCCCTGGCCCCGTGCGCGGCGCCGTTCGCGGGGGAGCCGGGCTGCCCCTTGGCTCCCCGGGGCCCTGCGGCCTGCCCAGCGTGGTGCCCGGCGCGGGGGCAGCCTTGGCCCTGCAGCCTCGTGGCCGTGCCGCTCGCCCCCCTTCAGCGCTGCCTTTATCTCGGTAACTAACAGGCGGCTGAACTCTTCTAACCATCCCACTGGATCCCACTTTATAATAGCCCGGAATAACGGGGGTGTTCGGCCAGCACCCCGGGATCCAGCCCTGGGGTTGGCCCAGGCTGCAGCCGGAGCGTTCCCCTCCTTGCTCCGGTGGGGGTTCGTTGTTTCATGTAATGCCCATTGCTTTAAAAGCAAATTAATTGCCTTCCTTACAAGGTGCAATCCTCTTCCCGGCCATCCCCGTGCTTGCTCGCACACTGCGTGGCTCAGAGCCACCCCCGTGTCCCAGCACGGAGGTAAACACCCGAGCTCTGGTGCCGAGATAGACACCAAACCTCCACGTCTGGCTGCTGTCAGCGGGGCCTGGGCTTTGAGTCTCCCCCCAACAGGGCCGTAAACAGCTCAGTCTTCTGCAGTTGTATCGGTGAGAACATTGAAACCAGTGTCACAGGATGACACTGCAATCCTGCACATTTAACTGGACTGGTGTTTGTTGGCTGGGATCTTTCAGTATAGATTGTGGCACAAGCTTAATATAAGCAGCTGTTTTTACTGTTTATTTTAAATATAAGAAAACTTACCTTTCCTTTCAACCATTTCTTCCTCCAGGCTCTTGTTTGATTTCCTTATAAAGCCAGCAAAGCCAGGCTTTGGATATGTGTTGCCCTTTCCAGGGCTTTGGTTGCAAATATCTAAGCTCATGCTTTTTGAAATCCTCCCTGCTTGTAGGTTTTGAGTGCTAAAGACAAACCTGTCTCCCTTCAAACCCAATGGACGGTTTTGCCTGACCTTGGCATTTTATTCGTGGCACTAACTGGATATTTTCGTAATTGTCTCAGAGCCTGCAGAAAAGATAGGCCAGACTGGGCCTTTGAACTTTGGCAAATGAACCCTGAGCTGGGGAGTTTGGGGAAAGTTTGGGACAAATTAGTTGGACAAAGAGCAAAACCACATCAAGGGCTGCCCATTCTGCAGCGTCCTCTGCGTGAGACCTTGTTCTGTCAGTCCAGTGCCCTGCATTCCAGCCATATCCACCCAAAATACATTCAAACACCTCTATTATGGTTTCATCTTCCTGTCTCAGCAAGACTGAGCAAGGTTAGTCCGTGGGTAGGAGACCTTCTCGGAAAGGTAGTTGCAGTAGGAAGTAGTGGCGTTCGCTCACTGAGTAGTAGTTTTCCAAGTACCAAAGTCAGCTTTAAGGTGCCAGTGTCTCCTGGTTCTGGGGATGACGAGCGGTAGCTGAGGAGGCTTCTGGCTTTGAGGAAGGGAAGCAAGCGAGTTTGGGAGCTTTTTTGGTCGTGAGGGGGCTCCTGGCATTCTAGCACCGAGTAGGAGAGTATCCTGGCCAAATTCCAAGCTGGGTGATTACATTCTGCTGCCTGCAAGAGAGCAGTGGTTTGTGCTGCATCTCACTGCTGGGCGAAGTGATCGCCTAGGGGCTTGAATTTATGAAGCAACTTAGGATACAGCAGGATGAATGAGACTTAGAGAAGTGTCAAGATGTCACTTTAAGCTTCACAACTCCCTCCTGAAGCCCTCTGGGCTGGTCCCTCTGTTGTTGCATCCCTTGAATGCCAGGGATCCACGCGCTGGGCATTGCTCGGAGTGGCTGTGGCAGCGTTTCCCAGTCCTCTGAACCATGGCAGCTCCTAACAGTTCCTAAGGCATCGCAGGATGTCTCCAGAACTGCTGCGCTTTCACAAAACACACAGACACTTTCCCCCGCATCAAGCAAGGAACAAACAGAATGGGAGAACAAGAAGTAATAAAAGAATGTTCAAAATTTGCTGGGGTTATAAATTAAAATACTGCGACTGTGCTGCTCAGGCTAATCCGCTGTTGGTGTTGAGTTTTCGAAACCTCCGAGTGATCTTTTGATTGGAAAAAAAATAGAGAAAATCTGATCTAAGATACAGAAGGCTTCATGGAAGTGTGTTTCCTGTTGTGTATGTATCCCTGATGTTTAACATTTTTTTTTCTCCCTGACCTTCCCTGCTTTATTTTGTACCCAGCTTTTCTTCTGTCTGAAATCTGCCTTAACTTCCCAAGTTTTCAGGAGAAGATCACTGTGTTTCCCTGGGATAGGAATGTCGCAGCTGCTTCCCGGCAGGAAGATGCTATACACGTTACAGCTCAGTTCCACCCCAAACCCAGATAAAGAATGAAGACTTTCAGTACCATTTCGATACCTCTTCTAGGGTTCACAGAGAATCCTTTCCCCTGACCTTCATCTGCTAATGGCTCAGCTTAGTCTAACCAGTAACGAGCTAAATGTGCAATTAGGCAAAAAGTCTAGCAGGAAGAACCGTCTCGATGTCTAAAATTTCTTGGCCCCTGCTGGTCTCAGTCGCTCATAGTAAACAGCTGAGATCTGAACCCCGCAGAGCTACGAGAGCTGTTCCCAAGAAGCTGGGACGGGAATGGACGATCCTGCCCTCCTCTTCACAGAGGTGAGATGAAGGACCCTTCGCAATGACAGCTCTGCAAGCTGCAAGCATGAGGAACCCGTGCCTGTGGAGTCTGACGCTTTGCCTCCAGAATGACCTTCGTTCCTCTTAGGCTAATGTCACCCGTTGTCACAAGTTTTGTTTTTGCCGTTTAGACCATCGCTAGCCACGGAAGTGTCGCTTAAATCACTTTTTTTCCTCCCTCTTCCCCCGCTCCCAGTTTTACACCGAGACTGTTAACAGAGCTAGCAGTGGGATAAGCAAAGCCAATACTTGCAGGGTTCAACCACCTACCTATAGCACCTTTCGCCCCAAAATGCCTTACAAATACCCTGACCGAGCGCACGCGTCCCGGCGCACGCCCTCCCCGGAGACTCCCCTTCACGTAGGCGCCCCCGTAGCCCCCCAGATCTGACTGTTAGGGACGTGGCCGCCCAAAGCAGCGCGTCCCGCGAGGCCACCGCCGCCGCCAGGTGCCTTTCGGAGCCGCCGGCTTCCTCAGCGAGCGCCCGCCGAGCCCGGGAGCCCCCCGCGCGGGCCGGCGGCGCCGGAGCGGAGGGCATGGCCGGCGCCGGGCTGGCCGGCGCGCCTCCCGTGCGGCTCTGGGTGCGCCGCGTGGGCGTTTACTGCGACGAGCGCCGCCAGACGTGGCTCGTGGCTGCGGAAGAGGCAAGTGTGCGCCGCGCTCGGCGGGGTCGCCGCCGCCGCCGCGCCGCTAACCGCCTGCTCTCTCTCTCTGTTGCTCTCCCCCAGGAGGAAGGAATGCTGAGGGCCCGCATCCAAAGAGTTCAGGTGCCCCTGGGTGAGGCGCTGCGGCCCAGCCAGCTCCCCCCATCCCGGCTGCCTCATATGTGGCAGCTGTCCCAGGGTGAGCAGTACAGGGATAGTAACTCTCGCGTTTGGGAGATAGAGCACCATCTCATGGTAAGGATGGTGGCGACGTTAGACCATAGTCATTCCTGTTTGTGAAGTCGTTTGAGCTCCCTGAGGGACGGCAAAGGACTGTTGTTTTGCTGAAGTCCATTAGCTCAGCCAGGGTAACTGTAGACGTATTGAACTTTTCCTTGTCGCTTACAGCTTGGTGGTGTGGAAGAACTGCTGCTTAAACTCGTGCCTGGTGATTAATCTGGTACGTGTGGCTGGTAACGCTGCTTTTGTACTGTGCTCTGTTTATTCCTGGTCATTCTTTAATGTGGCTTTTTGTCTTTCAGGAGCAGTGGCTCTAGGAAGAGCTCCTTGTATGTTTTGTACAATCAATGATTCTCTCTCCACTGAAATGCAGCCACCTCTGAGGTGGAAGCACTTTAACAACACACAGCACCATCACACGAGAGTTTAGCACAGGCAGTGCAGAAGAGTGTCGTGTCCAATTGAAGCATCAGGGGGAGTTCTAGGTAGGCAGAATCTCATCACCCCGAGCGGATTTTGGCCAGGATGCTGGAAATGAGGCCTTAGCTCTGTAGAGCAGTGCTGAGGGACAGGGCAGGTCCCAGCACAGACAGGGGCTGGAAGGGCAGCAGCTCCCTGGCGTGGGGCAAGGGCTGAGGAGGGTCTGGGGGAGCTCCGGGCCATGCACCCCTTCCTGGAGCAGCAGCGCTTTCCATCGAGGTCTCCCATCCAACCGCTGGTCCCAGGAGCTTTTGCTCCTCGTTGGATCTCTCGTGAGAGGTCCCAGTTGCAGGGGTCACAGCTGCAGAAGGTCCTACCGAGTGCCTGGGATCCTGCTCAACAGTGATCGAGTGTGGTGGAGCTTTGCTCCAATCTGGCTTTTTTGGGAGATTTCAAGAGGTTTTCTATAACCAAAGCAAAACAAAAAAACCCAGCCCATCATTATTTTAACAGGATGTACACAACTGTTATTTTTTAAATTGCTTTTCCAGGTGCAGTTTTATGACAGACACCAAACCCTGGTTATGTAGAGCTCGCAGGGACGGCCTTTACTCAATTGCTTGTTTCAGTATAAGGCTTGAAGGCTTAGAACTGTATTTAAAAAATCATCTGTGTTCGTTGAACTCTATTCAGAGGAGGGAATTCTGTGTTTCTAAGTGGAAAAGTACACGTTTGGACCAGGGAAAAAGGAGGGGGAAATAAAAAGGGCAAAAAGTCTGTGAAACTGGAGCAGTTTCAGCAGACCCAGAGCCGTTTCAGTCCTGAGTAGCTGCCTGTGTGCGGTGGCAGTCGTGTGCAGGCTGCAGTAGGTGGCCCAAAATCCTGCACTAGAGAGGAAAATTGGGAGCCCTTTAAAAGTCTTGGTTTTAAGGGAATGTCTTGCCCTCCTCCGGAAAAAGAAAAAAAAAAAAAAAAGGAAAAAGAAAAAGCCCATTGTTTCTACAGTAACATTTTCCTATCATTTTAGTTCTCTGACCATGTCCCAGAAGGATCCCTGCCAGAAACAAGCCTGTGAAATACAGAAATGCTTGCAAGGTACCAAGCGTTATTTTGTCTTTTCGGTGTCTTGATAGTTGGTGGAACTTTCTTTTCTTTCAATTTAAGCCTGTTCTTTCACCTTGAGAAGGAAGAAAGCAAGGCCGTTGGTGCGACCTGCTTGCCAAGCAAACAGTAGCTCATTTTAACAGATTTTCCTCGTGTTTGATTTGGAATAACAAGACACCGTTAGTACAGCAGAATAGTGTTCGTAACAGGGATGTGTTATTTCAAAACAAAGTCTTCTCCATGCTCTGGTCAGTGCCTGGCAGTCTCGGGACTAAGCTGTAGGTAGGTAAAGTTAGACATTATCATAGGCTTGCTTACAACATGGATAGGGTAGTGTTTTATGGTGCGTTTTATGGGAAGACTGCAACTCTAGGGGTGTCCTCAGAGCAGGACAGACTTGGCTGTCGAACAGTAAGAGGGTTAGGTTGGTGAGATCTGGCCTCAGGGCTGATGGAGTTTGATGTCTTCTGGAGAACTTCCTCAGCTCTTCTGTATTATGTGATGGGGTGGTTGGGGAGAAGGCTGGTAGGGGCCTGGGTTGGGAAGAGCTGCCTTGTTACTCATAGAGGAAAAAAAATACATTAGTGAAAATGCTTTGCTGCTTGGAAAAGGATTCTTGAGCAGGCAGGCTTGGAAATGTGTTCTCCAGAGGTCCCTGCCAACGTCAGCTGTGCTTGACAACACCTTGCCATAGGAAATGGGTGGGAGAGAGCATTCCTTGGAGCCGCAGCTCCGGGTTCGTGGCGAGGGAGGGAAGGCTGGTGGCGCCCGGCTGGAAGCAGCCGCCGCTTCGGCAGAAACTCCTCTCTGCTTTTAGTTTCCGTGCAGCCTGCGAGTGAGATAGTGAAAAATGTGATGAGGGGGTGAAACCCTGTGGGGGAAGTCGAGAGACCGCTCTGCCACCGTCAGCACCCGCGACGGGCGCAGTCTGGGGGGTGACACAACAGCCCCCGGATGGCTGGGGAAGAGCCGAGGAGGAAAAGCAGGCAGAATAAACGAGGGAAAAGCTGCAGCCACGTTTTGGAGGGTGTCTGTGTGTCCCAGGATTCTCTTAGTGTTGGGAAGGTGTGACCATCCCTGGGTGAGCTCTGTGTTCCCGTCACGCACAGACTCGGCGAGTTGGCGGAGGGGAGCCTGGCTGGCTCGCTCACTGACCGCAGAGCCTTCACGGGGCTCCTGCAGGACCCAGGGCCAGCGGTGGTGACCGCAGCAGTGTCACAGCATGCAGCACTGCACTGCACCACGCTGCGCTGCACCGCGCTGCACCGTGCTGCATCATGCTGTGCTGCGTCATGCTGCATCATGCTGCACCGTGCTGCACTGCACCGTGCTGCACTGCACTGTGCTGCATCATGCTGCACCATGCTGCACTGCACCGTGCTGCACTGCACTGTGCTGCATCGTGCTGCACCGTGCTGCACTGCACTGTGCTGCAGGGCACTGTGCTGCACTGCACTGTGCTGCATCATGCTGCACCGCACCGTGCCAGGCAGGGAGCTCCCCCGGAGCCGGGATGCCGGTCCTGCCGTGTCCAGCAGGAGGGAGCCCGGGCCGGCCGTGCAGCCGCTCGCGCCCCGGCGCCCAGCCCAGCGCCCCGGCGGCAGCAGCGTCGGAGCAGCAGACAAGGAGGACGAGTCATTGGGCTTCAGCACGTCAGGAGCTAAAGGGGGGACCCATGCACGGAGGGTGGAGCTGCCCCCCAGCTCCATGCAGCTCCCATTGCGCGCCTGGATGAGCTTCCTGCTCACATGCTGTGTTGTCATTGGAAGATGGATTATGCTGCAAAACTGCAGCCCTGCTCCCCCCTGCAAATTACAGGCCACCAGAGCAGTGATTTCAGATGCTTCTCTCTCTTGCAAGCCCCGTAGTAATGCACACCTCTGTGCTAACACCAGGTCTGCTTTGGATGCTTTTGTATCTGTTGTAGACCTGATAGTAGCGTGGCATGGGCGCTTGAAGGGATCACGGGATTCAGCTTAAAAGGACAGAGAGAGCAGGGACTGAGGGCAGCTCCATTCTTGCTGTAGTGACGAGCAGCAGCTACAGTCCCCGGTGCTCCCAGCAGCGGCCAGGCTGGCTCGGGACAGCTTTGGACAAATGAACTAGAGAGGGATTTTGCCGAGTGGGGAGCCCCAGGCGTGTTAGCAGCCATGGCCGTGCATCAAGGCACAGCGGGCAGCACTGGCAGGGCCGGGCTCGACCTGTCCCCTCGGGGGACGGGTCGAGCTCTGCGGTGCAGACTTGGCATCACTCTCCTTTTTCTTCTTTTCCAGCTAACAACTACGTGGAGTCCAAGTGCGAAGCTGTGCTGCAGGCGATGCGGAGGTGCTGTGCCCGCTACCCCAGGGGCAGATCCATCTGCTGCTCAGGGTTCGAGAAAGAGGAGAGAGAGAGAGAAAAGCTGCAGGCCGCTTCAGAAGGAATCCCCCCCACACAGCAGTAACACTCGGCAGCTCCAGCAGGTGCCAGAGCACGGACTCACCTGCAGAGCTCTTACTTGCTTTTATTTTGCAGTCCTTCTGTAGACTTTCAGGAAAGCCAGATCGCTCCCAGAACACACCGTCCCGTGCACCAAAACGTAATAATGCAGAACCAACAGCTGGCCTGGTTAACGGACTTTATTTGCTCTACCAAAACATTATCTACCTTGTCTTAGCATTGCACTTGTGTCTGTGAAAAGTCAACGTGGTGTTTCTAGAACGCTTATCCTCCTCTAATCCGTCCTCAGTGTCAACGTGCAGGGCTGGAACCAGGTTCTTTCCAACTTCTGGAGTGGGAGGTACAGGAAATATGCTCAAAAGAGTGAGTTTAAATGTGACACACGAAATGATCATCTTGACATAGCAAAGGAAACGCTGCCATCCTGCAGTAGTTTCAAACATTCAGCTGTCTGCTGGTTGAAGCTCAAGAACGAGAATCGGTTCTGGGGCTTGTCCCTAGTTCTGACACAGATCCCGAGTGACTACAAGTCACTTTGCCTAAGTGCCTCTCCTTCCCACTGGATAGGGTTCTGACTACTTTATATTGGGATTGCCTAGACGCTGCTATTTGCATGACAATAAAGACGTTACAGGAACATTATTTCAGGGATTGCTACAGGAATAGGATTTTTAAAAGAGCAATATTCATTTGGAAAATCTGACTGTTGATACAAAAACAGATTTATAAGTTTGTTACGTGTAACTGAGCACCTTTACGCAATATGCCACGAGCCCAGCATAATTCCACGCTCTGGTACCCAGAGCCCTGGGCTAGATCCAAGAACGGATTTAGGTGCCCTCACAGAACAAGGTCCAGGCACCCGCGTTCCACAGAGCGCTCCAGACTCCCACTTGCAGACAGACCGTGTCCGGGCCCCAAGGGAGGTGGCTTTTCAGATGCTCTCCCTCATGCAGCAGAATTTCCTGTGACCTGTAGGCAGAGCTTGGTAGACAGGTTCCTGCATCACCCTTCAGAGCTGCCTAAGTCTCTCCGTCCACTGTAGCAGGAGTCCAGGCACCTCAGTGGGTGCCAAGTCCATTCCAGGGCCCAGACACCTCAACCACAGACTTTGAACCCACTAAGCTCCTAACTCTGTCATTAGATCTAGCCGTAAAGGACTTTTGTGCTGTGATCAAGTACAATTTATTAAATACAGCTTCTATAAACAGACCACTGTAGTCTAGGCACAATAGATGAGTGCATTGACGCCTAGAAGAGCAAAACCATCTGTATTCACTGCTCTGAAATACCACGATACAAATAAATGACTGGAACAAATTGCAGTCTGGGTTGGTTGTTTGTCGAGAACGCGACGCAGCCGCGCAGAGCCGGGCGGCTTGGCCGCCCTTCGCGGTCCGGAGCTGCCTCTGACAGCAGCGTGTTTAAATAGAAGCCGCTTGCTAATTTTATATCCAGGGCTCAGGATCAGAATTAATTCAGAGCGAGCCTTCCCTTCCTGCACAGGAAAAAAGGAGATGGGGTTTTTAATATTCTTGAGGACCAGGGAAAACAGCAAGGCGGCAATTAGGCGGCTCCGACACCTGACAGCCGCCCGTGTTACCTCCTTGCCCTGTCTTGAGCAGCAGCAGCGCCAAGACAGTCGCTGAGCAATGGTCAGAAGTGGCTCCTTGGGCTTCTCCAGCACCTGCGAGGAAGGAGAGGCCTCTTCTCCCTGCCCACCCGGTGCAGGAAGCTCCAGTTTTGGGAGCAGGGCTGAGAGGAGCCGGGATCATCAAGGAGAGGGACTCGGGCTGCTCATCCTGACCAGCTCTCCCTCCAGCAGGGAGGGAACCTGCCCATGTCAAGGTCAGCCTTGACATGAGGTGCACAGAGATGCCAGGAAACTTCACACGGGGAAGCTTAGAGCAAAACTGTTTAATAAAATATCACCTCAACAAGCATTTAAATACAATATATAAAAAGACTTTACAAGCCTAGTGTGTTTTAAACCTTCCCGTACCGGAATGGGCGCCAGCAGCTGTTGAAACCAGCCCAGGGGGATTGCGTGTGTACGTGCACACATGTGCCAGGGGACAGGACGCTCATTTTGGCACCCGCAGCAACACCAATGCATCCCGTGGAGGTTGTCCGTGCTGCATGAAAACTGCCAGCGCCTCCACGCAGCCCTTCCACGGTGCCAGCCGCGAGGCCAGCACTGGAAGAGCAGGAAGACTGGCTGGATTTGGATATCCTTGCCCACTCCCCGCTTGCGTTTGCCCCAAACTCAACGTGAATTTGTCTCAATCACTTGTTTCCTCCTAAAGCAGGAAACAAGATATTTTAGCCTGATTAGAGCCATCTCTGGGCCTTTTCTCTCCATAGCAGCAATTCCAGACCCTGAGGACCCAGGACCCAGATGCCCTTCCCTAGATTAGGGCAGAAATAACAGGGAATTGAGCCCTAAGTTCTGTTAATTATTTACTTTGAGCTTTGTCTCGGAGAGCTCAGCTGAAAGCTGTGTTAGGTAACATGCCAGGCAGAGATCAAGTAACATCATTTTCCCCTACAAGAACAAGGGAGATCCTGCAATACATACGTATTAATTCTCCCACATTCAGCTGCATTCCTGCCACACCCCAAAGAAAACCCAACCAAATAAAAAGCAGCCTTTGTCACTCCATTCCCAAGCAGTGATTTACCAAGGACCTACTTGTTGCCTCACGGAATTCCTCCAGCCCTTGGTGACCTTTAAGAGGACCGTAACTGAAAGCACGGGAGCCTGCCTGCTCACACGTGTGGCAGGGCAGGCACAAAGACACCCCCTCTGCACCCCGGCCCAAGCGGCTTTGAGGATGAAGAAGGCGAGAACCTCGACTAGCAGAACCTCACCTAACCCAATGTGCTGCGACACTGACTTCAGTGAACACCGTGCAAAACACAAACCACCTCAAAGGCCATGACAGCAGCGGCGGAACCGGCGGCTCCAGCTCTTCCAGCTTTTCTCCGTGGGGAAGTTCCCCAATTCCATCCACGGCACAAGCCAGAGCACAGCCCGGCATTACACAGCGCACCAGCAATGCAGAACAGCTCTAAGGGATTGCTTTTTTTTTTTTTTTTTTTTGTATTTTTTTGCCTTTTCTCTTGTAGGTTAGAGCTGTGCTCTGCACAGAGCTGCGCTGGGCTCGAAGCAGCAGCCTCTGCATCTTGGCTGCCCCCTTCTCTGCAGGGAAAGGGCTGCAGACACCCAAGTTAAGGAAGCAGGAGGATAGCTCTTTTTGTGGAAAGGGGGAAAAGCCAAGGGGCTGAAAGAGAGAAGGAACATCGCTGAAGCAGAAAGCTAAAAGCTGCTCCTGCCACAGGAACACTCCCTGATTTTCCTACCTTTGATATTTAGGCCTAAGGACCCTGTTTTCCTAAGCAGGCAGCAAGGGGAGCAGGCTCCAAGCAGCCTCTCTGTAACCACAGTCTCGGGCTGGGGAAGGGAATAAGTGGGAGTTATTGCCAAACACGTTCAAAGGAACCTGTCATTTCCAAGTGACACACCAGAGAGGCAGCTGAGCCCTTCTGACAACAGCAGCCCCCAGGGTGCAGATGCTGAGGAGATTAAACTCAGTTTGCAGAGAGCAGGGAGATGGGATTTGTACTCTGCAGAGCCAGATAAAAGACTGCACACAAAGCAGATCTAGCCAGATTTCCTATCTCTTCCCCCATTCCAACTAAGCTGGCAACAGGGATCCTAGACCAGCACAACACACCCCAAACCATAGGATGCATCTCCTATGTACAATCCTGCAGCCTGGCGAGAAGGGAACTCGGTCGTTCCCTGCAGCTGGGAGCTCGGTGCCTTTCAGGGGACACGGAGCGGGCCTGGAGCGTCACCGTGGGGCTCGGTTTCCATCCGCAGTGCCAGCGCCGCGCTTCCAGTAAGGGCTATAAATACCAGCCAAGGAGAAGCCCGGTGACCAGCTACGTGTAGTGCAAAGGTGGGGAGGCAGCCCAACGCCCCAGGCCCACAGAGAGCTGGAAGTGGCTCCCTAACCACCAGCCCAGAAGCCCCTTCTGGCACAGAGCCCAAACTGCCCCGATGCTTCTGCCTCCACCCGAGGCCGGCCGGGCAGAGGTGGGTTTCACACTGCGCCCCTGTGCAGAGGGAAGCTCCGGCTTTACAGGTGCCAGGGAAGAGAAAGCCAAGCAGCAGCGAACAACTGATAGCTGTTGTATATACAAACTGGCAGACAAATAAATATAATGCCCCTGGGCACCTGTGAAGAAGCGTGTTTAGAGTTCTCTGCCCCTACGTATCTATGCGGCTGCAACTTACCAAAATCTGGGCATATTGGGTGGGGAGAGGAATCAAACTCGTATGCTGGGGATCACGAGCTTCAGATCAAGCCCAGCACCCAAACAGCCCACAGTAATAAGCTGGAAATCGGAGCAGCATTGTAAAAAGTCCAGGTTGGAACCTGGGAGCAGAAGCGATTCAGCTGCTGAAAACAGCCACTGATTTCTAAGTGAGAGGGAACATGAAGGAGAGGACATGGAGACTGGACAAGAAACGAGGGCTGGGCAGTTCCTACGACGCCATTCCAAGCAGAAATCCTCCAGCAAAGCCTCCAGTCAGGATAACATTCTTCTTCAGGAACGTGATCACCTAGGAGGAGAGAGCAGAGCCGACAGGGTTCAACAGCAGCGGGTCACTCTCCTGCCCTCCCCACAAAAAGGTGCCTCTTGGGCTCATCCCTGAGCTGGGACAGTGGCCACTGCTCGGCTCTAGGAAAGGAGCCTCCCTAATGGCCCCCCTGCTCCCATTCCCACATACGGATCCCGGAGTAGCTGAGTCCCTGTGCAGCCAGCCCTGCATCGGACACCCAGGGCTTGGCTGCAGCCACAGGACACAGCAGAGCCCGGGCTGAGCAGACCAGGCTGCCTCCCGAGCTGCTCAGCTGGGCTCGTCACACTGAAGAGATTCTTCTTGGGCTCCCCACAATGCCGGCCAATTTTCTTCCAACACCGAGGAATTTGCTCCATGGGGAGCTGGCATCACGCCTAGAAGCCACCCTGGCTCTCTCAAACTCACCTGGGTAGCTTTGCCATCTCTCCTGTTGTTACACAAGCACCCCAATGAGGGGAAAGATCCCTAAAAGCCCAGAAGTTGACCCCGTTTCATCCAGCTGGGTGCTCACCCTGGCAGAGCGGTCTCACCTCATCCACTTTGCCTTTCACTTCTGGGGCCATCTTGTTGCCGCTGCTGTGAAATTTCAGCTGCTGCTTGGCTTTGTTCACGTCCCGTTCTACCAGCTTCCAGTCCACTTTGATGTACCCCGTGTGGTTTGCAACCTAGGATTTCGAGGGACAGAAAGTGAATTCCTGGGGGTGAAACCCTGCTCAACCCACGGCTAAACCCCCTGCCATCCAAAACCCAAACCAAAGCCAGCCCACATGATCGTTCAGCAGGCTGAGAGAGCAGGGATTGAGCACGCAAGCTTAAGGGTTGGGAAAAGCCCCGTCCCCAGGTTACATTAACGGCCCTGCAACATCTGCCAGGCACAATAATCCCCGCACAGATGGGCACAGGGCTGCAGCTTAGAGCCGCCAGCCTCCCCTCCGAGGCAAAGCTGCCATCCCTCCCCCTCACAGCTGCCACGTGTCCCGCTGGGCCTCGCGCTCCTGCTGCTGGTATTAATAGGCTATTCCTAAGTATTTCAGCTGGTCGGGATGATTCAACAGGGAAACCCTCCCTGCTCGGGGCGGGCTTTAGGCCGTGGCACAACAAGTAGAACCAGAAGAGCAGGGGGAATAAAACACACGAGACACAACACGGGAAAGCCAACAGTGAAGGGTGGCTGTGGGAATCTGTGAACAGGATCCTGCAGGACGAACAAGCTGCATTTCAGCATCCAAGATGCTCCTCTCAAGCCCAGAGTTCTTAGAAACCACAAGAGAAATAGTTGGAGGAGACAGAAATCTCTGTTTCCATCCTCTTCCCCAGTACATTATAAAGATCCTCCCCTGATCTAGCTCAACCCCGTGGAAGGCAGCTTGGAGATGCACATCACAGCCATGGCCAACCACCCCCTTGACATTAAGGGCTGTTCCTCGGGGGCTCCCATCTCCCCCAGCGCAGAACTGACAGCAGCAGCCAGCTCTGACCCCAGTGCTGCAGCACAATTTCCCCCGGACTAGCCTGTCTCCTGCTCCAAGTGCTCGGGTGGCCCTGCAGTGACAGTCCCCACACGCCTCTGTCCAGCTTCTCTCAGCAGCCCCTAAACAAAAAGGGCCTCTTGGCAGTCCTCAAACCTGTGCATGCTGCTCCTGCTTCGCTGCTGCTACAGAGGGTGAGGAATTTATCCAGAGATCCACGCAGAGGCCTTGCTCCTTCAGCACATCAGGAGCCCAAAGCCACCCGCCAAAACCAGCTTCCAAGTCTTTACAGATTTGACTCATCTCTGGCTGCCACAAGCTAAGAAGTACCACCGAGGTGACCCAACGTGTTTCTAAAACGTTTTTATGTAACTCCACAAGAGGCACTTGCATTCATCTGTTTCTAATACACTTTACGCTACCCATGGGAATGGGAATCTACGTCACAAGTAACACATGACACCCCTGGCAGAGCACGGAACTGATCCCACATGTCCAAACAACAGGGAAGCTGCTCGACCATGCTGCTTACTGTTGATTAAGATCGCCTGTTGAGTCACAGGGTTGTTAATGAACATCACTAATCACTAGCTGAGCCTTGCTCCTCGCACAGGCTCCTTGGGAAGCCCAGCCCGCCGCTCGCACGTACCTGGAGCAGGAAAAAGCCGCCTCCCACGGCCGTTGCAGCCAGCTTCCCGACTTTCTGGAAGATGAATCCAGTGCACCTGCAAATAAACCAGGACATGGTGAGGAGGATCCCACAGGACAGCGCTGGGCATTAACTGTGCAGGGCTCTGGGACAGCCTGACCTGTGGTAGAAGAAGCCAGGAGAGACCAGAGAAATGGAGAATTGTGCCCAGCCAAACCCACAAACTCTCCACAACCTTTTACTTCTCACTATCACAGCCCAGCATTCAATAGATGTGAATCTCTTCCCTTCAAAAACCCTTTTGGGCCTCCCAGAAGCATCACCAGAAACACGCAATTTCTTTGGAATTATTATTATTATTTTTTTTTTTTCTTTTTCAAACTGGTGTCACCTCTAACAGGGGTTCAAGGCAGCCCACGTGCCTCTGCTCCCTGGCACAGCACTGACCGTGGACCACAGGGCACGGCCTGAGCCACCTCAGACACGGGTTTGCCTCCGCGTTTCGTTTCTTTGGGGCTGCAACAGGACGACAGCAGAAGCCTGGAGCTGCTGCTGCCTCCAGCAGCGCGATGCACGTGAACCTGGGGAACATCCAGGGCTCAAGGAAGCAGCTCCAGGCCACCCCGCCGCTCCTTCTTGCGGTGTCACATTCTGTCACCTCAGACAGCCTTTGATTTGACCACAGTTTCCTCAACAACATGGCAAAGCGACACAGGAGCCTTCTCCCTTACGTGTTCCCGAGTGGATGCCCTTGGCCGAAAGCAGAGGGAAGTGGCCAGTGTGGAATTTTACTGGAAGATCAACAGGGGGTTATTTTGAATGGTGGCTCCTGCGTGGCGAGAGGGCAAGAAGCAGAGAGGGGCCAGCAAAGCAGCGCGGTCACACTGGGCGTCCGGGTCGATCCTGTCACGGTGGGAACGATGCTGCCGGAGCCGGCGCTTCCCATGGCACCTCGATCCCTTCCCGCTGGGGTTCGATCCCATGGAGCCCGGGATCCCCGTCCTGTGCGCGGGATCCCAGAGCATGGCCACATCCCAGGGCAGGAAAACCCTCTGCTCCAAGCGGCACAGGGATGCGCTCCAGGCCTCGACACCAGCAGGTTACAGCAGTTGTTGTGAAGAACGGCCCATTTACCCCCAACTCCTCCTATTTACCTGCTCCCCCCGGAGAGCTCTCAGTCTCCAACTCCACGTTAAACCACCACCCTGTTCCCGCCAGGAGGCCCCCAAATCCCCTCCGGGCGCTGGCGGCAGCGCCGGCCCCGCTCACCATCCCGTGACGCCCCCGATCACCAGCTGCGTGGCCACGTTGTACTTCTCGGCGCTGGAGCCCGAGCCGGGCGCGAACACCTTGCGCCACCAGGGCCGGCTCTTGGTGTACTCGGCCAGGTCCAGCACGTTGAACGCGTCCTCCTTCCTCCCTGCGGGCGCCCAGGGACGCTCAGCACCTCGAGAAGCCCCCAGAGCCCCTGGGATGCCCCCAAGGCCCCCATCCCAAAGCACAAGGGCCCCCTCTCCCCGCTGTCCCCAGGGCCCTCCAGACCCCCGGGGATGTCCCCAAGGCCGGGCCCATGTCCCCCAGGCACAACACCCACTGCCCGCCCACCCCCTCCTGTCCCCGGGGTGAAAGGACCCCCCAGAGCTCCCTGGATCCCCCCCCAGGCCCAGGGACCCCGCAGGACCCTCAGACTCCCCTCCCGGTCCCCTCCCGGGCCCACGGGCGCCCCGCTCCCCATGGCCTCGTGTCTCCCGGCAGAGCCGGCTCGGGCCCTCAGACGGCGGCGAGCTCCGGTTGCGGCCGCAGCAGCCGCCGGTAACGGGGGGATCGGGGTCGGGGTCCCGGTCCCGGTCCCGGTCCCACCTCCGCTCGGGGCCGCCATGACGCGCCCTCCGCTCCGCCGCAGCCACGTGACTGCCCGCGCGCAGGCGCGCGCGCGCGAAGGCGCCGCCCCCCAAGGCCACGCCCAGGCGCGTCACGTGGGCCACGTTCATTGATGAGAAAAAGTCCCCGCGGGCGGGGGCGTCACGTGGTCGGGCGGCGCGGGCGCGCGCGCGGGTCGTGTGTGGGCGCGGGGCGGCGGGCAGGGGTCTCGCGTGGGCACGGGGCAAACACGCACAGGTCGCACGTGGGCACGGAGCAGCCCTGCACAAGCCACGCAGCTGGGCACGGGCTGGCCACGCGCGGGTCACGCACGTGGGCATGGAGCAGCCCCACATGGCCGCGCGCGTGGCACGGAGCAGCCACGGACAGGTCGCCCGCGTGGGCACGGAGCAGCCCTGCCTAGGGGCAGCATCCCACGAGGAGAGGAGCGGGGCTTCAAGGACATCTAAAGGCTCCCTCCGAGCCGCATGTCCCTTGTGCTGGCGGGGGACACGTGGCGGAGCCGGGACAGCCGCCACCACGTTCCACGCGCCGCCGCCGCCTGCCTCGCAGGGACAGCGCGGACACGCCTCGCGAGTGACAACTTTGAGCCCAAGCCCCTGCGGAGGGAGGCGAAGCCCCGGGGCCGCGGAGCAGCCGCGCCAGGAAACGCTGAAGCCGCAAGCGGCAAAAAGAAAGGAAAAAAAAACTAAAATAAAAGCGAAGGAAACGCCACCGAGCGGGCGCTGCGCGGGGGGCATTTGCTCCCACGCGGGGGAAGCTCCCGCGTTCGCTCGGGGCTCAGGACGGGGCAGCGGCGCCCGTGGTGACCCAGTAATCAGATGTAGCTGTTGCGGAGCGGGACAGATCCTACACCGACTACTGAGCGGCCACGGGCGCCAGGTCGGCGCCGAGCGGCGGGACCCGCGTGCACGACACGGGGGCCCTACCTGGCCGGTGTCCCCCGGTGCCACCAAGCCCATGTCGCTGCGTGCTCCGGCTGCTGCAGTGGGGCGGCTGCGCCGGCCCCGCCGCTTTTAGCGCGAGCGGGTCCCCGGCCCCGGGGGCCGGCGCGGGCCGGCGGGAGGAAGCGCGCGGCGCGGCCCCGTCAGAGCGAGAGCGCGGGGCTTTCCGGGGGGTTTCTCTCGCCCTCCTCGTTTTCTGGGAACCGGAGGCGCCCGGGCTTTCCGTGGGGGCGACGGCGCTTCTGCCCCGGGGACTTCACCACCCTGCACGGCTCTTTCGCAGCCTCCCCCCGCGGGGAAGGGGCTTCTGCCCCGTGGAGCTTCTCAGCTCTGGCAAGTGCGGGTCCTTCCTGGGCCACCTTTCTTGGTGGTGGCCCTGATTCCTTCTGTGTATTCACCTGCTGCAAGGGCAACATTGAGGAATGCCACCTTGCAATGAGGTGTGAGCACAGAGCAGGCACTGTCGCGATAGCCTCGTGTCCCGACTGCACCAAAATCTGTCCCGCGGCACCTGCAATTGCCTCGTCCCTTTGCACGTGTCCAAGCACTGCAAGGGAAGCCGCTAAAACAGCAGGCAGCATCCCTGCTCCTTGGGATGCCCAGCTGGGATGCAAGGGAAGATGCTCCACAGAGCAGCCGGGCTTCCCAGGCCCACGTAGGCGCTGCGGGCGCCCGTGGGCGACGCTCCCATTCCTGAGCAGCGTCTGTGCGTCACTCTCCTCGCCGGCAGACACACAGAAAGTCCCGGGAGGGATGAGCCGCCGCTTGCTTTGCTCTGAGTCACTTTTCCCCACGCTGAGCAGAGCCCTGCACAGTTCAGGGAAAACCGCTGGTGGTTCCGGCCGGCACGTGGCTCCCGTCCCGGGGTCCTGGCACGCTCACCACGGGCTCCTTGGGCAGAGCCGCACGTCTTAATGCCGCAGATTGTTTTTTCCTTTCCTGCCTAGTGTCATTTCTGGGTGAAAAAAAAAAAAAAAAAAAAAGCCCTGCCCTTTTCTAACCTTTCTGGACGAGTACTGTCCCACAGCACCAGGACATCCCCAGTCAGCACGTCCAGATTAAACCACTGCTATAAGAGCAGCCTGTGGTCGTCCTGGGGAGCTGGTGGCCACGCTGGGGAGCTGCACCTGCCTCTCCCCCACCATGCACCAAAACCAGATCGTTTTTCCTCGCACGGCTCTGCCGGAAACCGCGGGGTGCTCGGCGCTCATCGCGGTGCCGTGGGGCCCGTGCTCGAGGAAAGGGCTTCCTGGCTGGCATCGTGCTGAGGGCGCGGTGAGATGGGGGTGGCTTTTCTGGCACTGTCAGAGCACCCTTGGCAACAAGGGTGGGCAGCCTCTGCCCGCCGGGGGTTTTTCCATGCCCGTGGGGGAGCCCCGGGGAGACGGAGCCGCCCTTGGATGTGTTTTCCCCGACAAGCTCAGGCAGCGGGTGGGAGGACGCAGTGCGCGGGGTCACGGCTCCGTTCGCTGCGTGACTGATGGGCCGCTTCCCGCGGCGGGCGCCAGGCCGGGGCTGGCCCTTCCTCCTTGTTTTCCTGCCCCGGGAGCGCTCGGCGAGGGCAGCGCGCCGTGCACGAGCCCACGTGCACGTGGCGGCGCCCGGACGGGGATCTCCTAAGTGTTCGGAACACAAGAAACAAAAGGCCCCAAATGTGGGAATTTGCAAATAGGGACAATTAGTGGAAAAAAAAAAAAAAAGGAAAAGAAAAAAAAAAAGAAGAAAATAAATTGGGGTGCCTCTTTGGAGCTGATGTGGGGAATGTGGGACATGCGGCTGCAGCACCTGCTCTGGGCTCCTTCCTTGCAAAGGTCCCTGGGGCAGCTCCTCACCTGTGCCTCCCAGGAACACATAGACACTCACACTTAGCACCTGGTGGGCAGATCTTCCCCCAAAACGGCCTTTCCATGGGATACAAGGGGACAGAATCATCAGGGTGGAAGCTGCTCCAGTGAGAACCAGTGCAGGTGGCTCCATAGGGCATGAGACTCTCGTTGCTCTCCTACTTTCTCCCTCTGTAGCCAGAGGGACGGGGCAGAGACCGCACCTAAATTCCCCTTCCTTTGAATCCCTCCCTTTCCTCACCTCTCCGCCGGCGGCAGCGGGCCAGGACACAGAGCCAGCCCCTGTGCCGGGGCCGAGCTCCACGCTGCCTTCGCCCTCCCTTTCCCTTTGTTTTTTCCTCTCCTCCCGTGCTTGTCACCGCTGTCACCGCAGGCGAGAGGCAGAGCCCGTCCGTCCATCCCGCAGGGAACCCACACCGGCGAATCCGCTCCCACTGCCCGTGGGAAACTTTCCAGGGTGCTGACGGAGCCGCGGGGCGCTGGCCGTAAATCATCTTCTCCTGCTGATTACGACAGCAGGATGCGGGGATAAAGCTGCTTCTCTTCTCCCGGCTCCTTCCACCTCTCCGTGCGTTTTTCCCCCTTGGAAGCATCGGAGGTGCCCGGGCGGTGGGCGCGATGCCGGCCGGAGCCCTGGGCTGCCTTGTGCTCCTCTGCCTGCTCGAGGAGAGCGCCGGCAGCGTCCGCAGATACTACATCGCCGCGGCCGAGACCGCCTGGGACTACGTGCACGGCGAGCTGCTCCCCACGCTGCAGGCGCCCGCCGGGTAACGCTCCGCTCTGCCGCTCGCCGGTCGGGGGGTGTCTGCGGGCCGTGGGTGCTGGATAGGGCATGGAGTGACCCTAAACGCTGTCCCCAGGGTCAAGAGCTGGTGGTCCAGGCTGTGTTTGCCCTCTGTTTCCCTGCTCTGCGCCCGGGCTGCTTGTGGGATGCTGGTGGGAGGTAGCGTCCGTGCGCGAGCTCCCCATCTCCGTGTCTTCTTCACTCACTTGTGTCACCTGAATTGATGTTTTCCCATTAGGGAAATCTGGTTTCTAGTGTTTTGGCAAACATCGTACAAGATGTTGCCCATCTTGAGCAGGAGATTTGCCCATCCTCATGAGCCAGGCAGGAGGGAGCATTGTTGGGCATTGCTCGCCATGGGATGCTGTTGTTCGGGAATGCTCGGATGCGCCGTCGTGGGTGAGTTGTAGGGAGTGGGGATGGGTCCAGCGGCAGCACCGCCCCTGCCCACAGCTCTGGAGCAGCGAGACCCTGGGATCCAGGGTCTGCACTGACCTGGGTGCTGTAGCCAGCAGGAAAAAAATGTGTCCTAGACTGTATTCCCAATGTTGCACTCGGATATAGAAGGACGTGGTGGAGCCGAGGCTACCCAGGCTGCTAATTTCGCACCCTTGCTTTGCACCTCAGTGCTGGCTCTGATGGCCCACGCGGGCAGCGTTCCTGAATCCCTCCAGACACAGGGACCTGGGTCCGCCTGCAGCTTCACAGCTGTCATTGTGCTCTTGCTTTTAACGGTGGTTTTCATGGTCATCCCCTCCCCTTGCTGATGTCCTACCGTTGCAACCTCGCAGTTCCCTCCGTGCCTTTTTTATCCTCCCACTGGATCAGGAACAGCCACTCCCAGGTGAACTGTGGTGGGAAACTGGCCTTGCACTGGTGGCTTTGGGCAGCTGCAGGACAGAGATGGCTTTTAGTCCCTGTAGACTCATCCCACTGCCTCCCACTTGGGAAGGACGCAGGGAAACACTGGATCTCGGAGCAGAAGGCGTTTGAAAGGGAGTCGAGCAGTGTGGTAGAAGCAAAGATGCTCCCTCCTTGCACCCTGTCGCAGACCCAGGTGGGTGGCAGAGGGAACCCACAAGGATGCAGCCCCTCGGAGGTCCTCAAACCCCTCTATGTGCTGGTATCCTGGTGAATGAACATGCCACAATGCACCGGAGCCACTCGCGTGTCCCCTGCCTTCCAGTTCCTCCTCTCCCTCCCAGGCCCCCCAGGCAGCCGTGGCGCACGGCAGGTGCCGGGAACAGCGGGTCCCGCGGGCCCTGGACCGCGGTGCCGGCGCCCGGCGGGGGCTGTTGACCTTGGCGGCCCCCGGCGCCGCCAGATGAACAGATAGTCCCTCGAACAATGCGGGCCGGGGCGCCAGGAACTCGCGTCCTGCTGCACCGTCCATGGGGACTTGCAGTGTCACGTCGCTGCAGCCGCCGTCCCCAGCCGGGCTCCGCCGGGCTCTCCCCAGGACCTGCTCCTTAGCAGCTTTGGTGCCAGGGAAATCTGAACCCCTTTGGGCTTGTTTACTTCCGAATTTGCAGCACTAACGTCCTTCCGAAGCGGGGATTTCTTGGAGCGAAGATCCCGGTTCAGCAGGCGCCGGGAATGCCCCGGGAAAAGGCTCGAGCGCAGCTGGGGCTCTGCGAGCTCTAAGCCCGCTTTGCCCAGCGGGCACCCTGGCTGCGCCCTGGGCCTCGAGCCCATGTTCTGAGTCAGCCCGGCTCCTTCCTCTTCCACTTGAGGAAGAGTCAAGCAGGGAGCTGCTCCTCGAGGGAAGCTTTAGTCACAGGGTGAGCGAGCCTTGCTATCCTGGAGGAGAAAATAGCACCTGGCTTCTGCTCCAAACAAAACAAGGCTGGAGCCTGGTTTACTGGAAACGGTCTGTCCCGGGGCCGGGACTGATAAGGCAGGCTGTAAAATCCCCGGAGGAATTAATAGCTTTGTTATCCTGATAAACTGAGGCCTGGATTCCTGCTGGAAAACGAGTTTGTTGAGCTGCTCACAGATAGAAAGCGGCCAGCGGAGATATGGGCGGCGTGAAAGAAATTGGAGTCTCCCTTCTCTTTCCCCTCCAAGAATTGGTTTCTTAGGGAATGGCTGTAAATCCCAAGCAGGGCAGAAAAGAAATGGAGCCAGGGACATTGCAGAGCAAGGTGCTGGGTGGCCCCATCTCTGGGCAGCTGTGCCCATGACGGTGCCCGCTCCCTGCATGGTGCCTCCTGGCATCACCTCTTATCCCACGGTGACCAACGCGTGGCGTTGATCACTGCTGCATTGGCATGAGCAGGATGTTCTCCAGCACACCCGGCTGCTCCCGGGAAACAGAGCGCAGCGCGATGCCCTGGAGTGCCAGGGAGCGGAGTAGGAGGATGGTGGCAGCCCATGGGGGGACGCGGCCGTGGGGTCACCACCCGCTTTCCCTTCCCGCCGCAGGGAATCGGGGCCCGCGGGCCCGCGGCGCCGCTCGCCCGCCGTGCCCCCGCGGTTCAGGAAGGCCGTGTTTGTGGAATACCCTGACGCCTCCTTCATGGAGCCCAGGCGCAAGCCAGCGTGGATGGGTAAGGAGCAGCTCCTTGGCTGGGAATGGGAGAGCTGGGAATACCTGGGAGCGCAGTGAGCACCATGGGGGCTCTCCCCCACGGAGCCTGTGGGGGTCCCCGTGCCTGACCCCCCTGCGTGTGCCCTGCAGGTCTCCTGGGCCCCACCATCCGCGCGGAGGTCTACGACACGGTGGTGATCACTTTCAAGAACCTGGCCTCCCGCCCGTACAACCTCCACGCCGTCGGGGTGTCCTACTGGAAGGTGTCGGAGGGTGAGTGGGGCCCTGTGGGTGTCACAACAAGGATGCGAGGAGCAAAGGGGAGCTCCGTGTCCCCGGGGCAATGGGGGAACCTTCTCCAACGCGATAAGCAACAGCAACACGAGTCACTTCTCCTGCTGCATCTCCTGTTGCGCAGCTCTCCAAGACCCTGGTGTACACAGGTGGGCACAAGGACCGCTTAGCATGGGGGACCAAGAGCCACCCCAGCCCAGAAAAGCAAACCAGGATCAGATAGCGGTCCAAGACGCCGCTTAAAGCTCAGCTTGGATGCTTAGGTCCAGGTGGAGCGCTGGTGTCCTGCACCTCAGCAAGCAGGGTTGGTGACATGGAAGTGGGGCGGTCCCTTTGGAGGGGACATGGGGACTGTGTCTCTGTGGCAAGACGCACCACACCAGGGCATGAAGTTGCAGTAAAATCGGGTTATTCCGTTGCCTTTAGGGGCAGGGTACGAGGATGAGACCAGCCAGCTGGAGAAGGAAGGGGACAGGGTGGATCCGGGCAAGACGCACACGTACATCTGGGAAATCCAGCAAAACCAGGGCCCCACGGATGGTGACTCCCCATGCCTGACCCACTCGTACTCCTCCAACACCGACAGCGTGAAGGACACCAACTCCGGTCTGATCGGAGCCCTGCTCGTGTGCCGGCCTGGTAAGGGGCAGGTCAAGCATGAGCATGACTGAAACTGGGAAAATTAAGACTCCTTCTTGAGTGAAAGGGTCTGGATATGGGGATCAGAGCCATGTCTGGTCAGTAAGCGGTGGTCAATAGCAGCACGTTTGGGAAGAGAGCCTTGGTTCTTCTTTCCTCTACAAGATTTTGGTTAATGTCCTCTGTCTCCTATTGGATTCTTCCCATAGGATGACTGGTATGGGCACACGGGTATTTGTCTATCCTGCCTTCGGAGTTTCCCCAGGTCGGGATCGTTCAGTCTCAGCTGGGTGCTTGGCCAAAACAGGTTTTGTTGGAGGAACCAAAGGGAAATTTACACTGGCAAGGGCTAAGGATCAGGGAGAGGCTGCATGCACAGCACATCGCCCAGGCCACAGCACCTGGGCCTCCTCCTCCCAAGTCCTCTCCTTTGGCCAATGTGGAGAGGACGCTTTTTAATACTTTCTGGGATGCAATGGAGCAAGATGTGGACCTGGGCTGCCATCAGCCACCTCTCCTTGAGCTGTCTCCTCTAGATGTTTGTCCAGACCCCTTTGCAGTCACATCTAGGGCATGAGTCACCTCCTCCCAAGGTAGCTGTCTGCCCTGGTCTGGGTGACTCGCAACTAGAGCAGTTTCCCCTCTGAGTGGAGAAAGTCTAGACGGCTGATGAAGATGATGGTGCTGACGAGGAAGCTAGGTCCCTGGGCTGCTCCAGGTGACTAACTATGTCCTGGCAGCCTTGGAGGGGCCAAGACGGGACAAAATGACCTTTTGGTGCCTTCATGGGTAGCTGTTCCTCAGCCATGGGTTTTTGGAGTGTGCAGGCTGAGGATGGCTTGGTGACAGTCAATGGCATTGTGAGAAGGGACAAAAGGACAGGGCAAACCTGGCCTTGATTTACCTGTTCTTGGGAAAGAGGGTTCCCTGGGGAGATGAGCACGGCATGTGCTGACCTTCAAAGCGATCCCCTCGTGCCTTGCAGGGACCCTGGCGAGTGACGGGACTCAGCATGCACTGCAGGAGATGGTGATGCTCTTCGCGGTGTTCGATGAAGGTAACGACTCCAGGGGCTGTCACCCCGTGTCAAGCCCTGCATTCATCCTGGTCCAGGTCCCAAGGGGTGAGCACAGCTGCTCCGCTCCCAAGCTGCCTTCCCAGTGTGTCCAGTGCAGGGAGCTCACTGCCCACCACTGCTTCCTACCCTGGTGTCATCCCCATCGCACAAGTGGGAGCTGGTGGTGGGTAATGCCCCATCACATAGGGTGCTTGCAACCATATATACCCATGGCCATGTCTTACCCTGGAAGACATGTCTTACCCTGGGAAGAAGGTTTCCTAATTCTCTGAAAGAAGGTAGGAGGTTTCCTAATTCTCTGAAATGTTCCTCTGTGAAAGCTGGCTGCATTCTCCTGTCTCCGCAGGGAAAAGCTGGTACTCGGAGCCCAGCTCCTCAGGAGCAACCCGGCCGCTGGCACGCAACAGGACGGAGCTGCACACCATCAACGGCTACATTAACGGCTCCCTGCCTGGTGAGGACCCATGCACTAGTGAAACATGGTGGGAACAGGGCTGCAGCAAGGTCTGTAAGCTCAGGGGATGAGGTGGCCTGTGAAAGAACATGACAAGGGACATCAAGGAGGATTTCTGGATGACGGAGCTGCTAGCTTGTGTTCACCCCTAGAGGCAACATCATTTATATGCCTTGCTCATTGAGAATGAAGCTCTCTGGGGCAGGATCCTTTTCTTCCTGTCTTGCCAGGTGTGGTAGATACCAACCTCCTCCAAGGTGCCCAGAAGCTGCCAGGATAGCAAAGAGCTTCCTCTTTTGTGGTCTTATGACCTAGGCCGGAGGTAGAGGGGAGAGGGGAGGATCCAGCACCAACCCCCTGGCTCCGACAGCACCTCCATGGGGTTGGAGAGCTGCCACCGAGCAAAAGAAAAGGCCAGTCATGCTCTCATTGACGCCTCGGGCAAGGTTTCTGGTATTCTTCTGGGAGAAGGTCCAGAGTTGCCTAGGAGTGAAGAATCTCCAGGGGAAATATTGTCAGGAAATATTGTCTCAATACCATCAGCAGCCCTGATGGAGCACGCCCTGAAACCTCCTACCTGGGTCTGACCTTTCTCCAATAATAAGAAAAGCAAAACTCCCCCAAATTCCCAGCCTGGTGGATCCATGGAGCTTAAAAGCTGAGCAGACCTCTTGGACAGCCGCTCTGGCACTGAGTTATCCCTCACCAGGACATCCCACCTCCCTCAGCAACTCCCGTCTGGCTCTGAGACCTGTTTTGAAAGGTGTTGAATGAGGAGCTGAGTGATGGCCCCAGGACTGGGGCCTCCACCCTGTCTCCTTCTGGGCTTTTGAAGTTTATTCCACCCACCTATGGTGCTCGGTGCTGCAAGCAAGTGGTTGTCTCTGTATCTGATGTTGTCCCACTTTAGCTTCCAGGAACTTGTTATTCTCTTTCTCACGAGATTACGGAGCCCTTTGGCACACATTAGCTTCTTCCTGGGAAAATGCTGTTGCACCATGGTCAAGTTGTCTCCCACTTGCTAAGTACACTGAGCTCTTTGAATCTCTCCGAGGAAGGAATTTTCTCCGGCCTTCAAATAAATCTATTGACCTCTCTGTGCCCTTTTTTTTGGTATTTCTACTGAATAAATACTGGAACCTTGCCCTGGATTCAGTGCTTTAATGTTAGGCTTGCCCGTGCTGTGACTAGACAAATATTTCCCTTTCCCTGTTCCCTATTCCCTTATTTATAGAGCCAAGGATATTTACCCCTTTGGCCACTGCTTCTTGCAGGGAATTCACACCAGCCTGCTTCCCTCAGGCCCTGCCCAGGGTCCGGGTCCCCCATGCTGCAAATCTGGCCTTATTTCAGCTGGATGGTGGGGTCCTTCCCTCTCTCTTGGTCCAACGGTCCCTGTTTACATGTGATGGTGCCAGTCAGGGGATCTGCCCAGATTTTAGCAGCAGTTGATTTTGTCTTTGCTCCCAGATGACTGCCAAAGCTGGAAAAGCATCAGATCCTCCCTAGGGAAACCTTTGTCTTGAAGGTTTGGAGAAGTTGCATACCTGGGATCACCTGCATCTCTTGAGGTTGCATGCACAGCACCAGATGCAGTGATCCCCTGCCGGGGACCAGGGCAGGTTTCAGGATCTGGGTCCTTATGCCACTGAGAGTTGTGCCATGGGATGGATGCAGTGCTGATTCGGGGTGCTCTCCTTCTCTGCTGGCAGGTCTCACGCTGTGCCTCAAGAAGCAGGTCTACTGGCATGTGATCGGGCTGGGCACTGGGCCAGAAGTGCACTCCATCTTCCTTGAAGGCCACTCGTTCTTGGTGAGGAACCATCGTCTCAGCAGCCTGGAGATCTCCCCTGCCACCTATCTCACAGCCCAGACCATGCCAGGAACAACTGGCTGGTTTCGGATGTTCTGCCAGATACCATCCCACCAGCAAGGTAACTTTATTCTGCAAGATATTGGGAAGGGAAACGTTCAGGAGATGGCCTGGGCTCAGGGCTCTGTGCAGTGAGTGGAAGTGGAGCTGGCCCTGGACTGAGGTGGCCCTGTTGAGACCATTTGATGGGGAGCAGGACATATCCCAAGCAGAAAGCCTGGAGGGAGGGCAGATAAGTCATTGCAGCCCTTTCTGTCTGGCCCAGCTGGCATGGAGGCCTTTGTGAAGGTGGAAGAATGCCCAGAGGAGCGCCTGTTGAAGATGGGGGAGTCAGACGACACGGAGGACATGGATTATCCTGAAGAAGATGAGGAATTTTCTTATCATGTGATCCAAGTACGCTCCTTTGCCAAGAAGGATCCTGTGACCTGGACTCATTACATTGCAGCTGAGGAGATGGACTGGGACTATGCCCCGGTGAAGCCAGCGTCTCTTGACAGGTGAGAGTGAGTTCCTGCGGCTCCTCAAGGCACCTCTGCCATTCCTCCCCCTTCCTCCCCCAAACCATTTTCCTTTTACCTGCCCTGCACAGCTTTGTCCTTTCTCATTAATGCTGAAGATACCAACTCGGAAAGATGGTCTTGGGGAGGCCAAGGGAGATGAGGAACTGCTTTGCTTTGCTCCATTTTACCAAGTGTCACCTTCCATGCTCCACAGAAGCATCTCCATAACCCAAGTCTTCAGGGCAAGTCCCCTCTGAGCAGGGAGCAAGCATGGTGAATCATCTCCTCCTCCTAGCCTGAAGGCCCCACGCAGCAGGGACACGTGTTTCTGTCGTGGGCATGTGGGGGTGAGTTCTCCTTTTGGAAGGACCTGCCCTAGACAGCACGGGAGATTAGTTCCTGGAACGGCCCCACTTCCTTGGAAGGAGAGGTGATGCAAGAGTGATATCTCAACAGAAGGACCCTGGTCAGCACTGCGTGGCACGGACACTTGTCACCAGTCCTGGTGCAACTCTGCTGAGGCAGGCTCTGTGGTTTGGGGCTTGTTTGGCAGCAGGTCATAAGGTTCTTTGCCAGATGGAGATCTCAGCTGGAGCGGGCTGTGCTTTGCACAAGTTACAGCCTGCAGCCACTCTTGCGGAATAAGGGAAGTCAAGGTGGAGAGCCAGAAGAGATGTCCAAGACACAGGGACAACCTGCCAGTATCTCAATTATCATAGACATCATCTCTCTCCAGGACGGAAGGCTCTGAGCCCAAGGCTGCAAGTATGCAGCGTAGTTGAGGTTCCTCTCCTAAAGAAGCATTCATGTTCCAAGGGGCTATGTCCTACTAGGAAGGGAAAACATTTATATTTTGCCTTCATACAGCAGCTGGCTTGCTCATAGCTTATCTTCCCTCAGGTTCCTGCACCACCAATGAATATGACTGGTTATTGACCAGAATCCATATTGTGATCATGTAGATGGGTGCTCCTGTCTCTGCAGTCCCCAAATAGGTTGTGTCAGCGGTCAGAAGATGGAAGTTCTTGCTCTTGACATGAATGTCACTATGCTGCTGCTTATTGCACCAGTATCACAGCATCCTGCACGTGGCCACTTGTTTTTTCTCTCTGTCTTCCCTGCAGAAACACCACGAGCCTCTTCCTGGAGGCTGGCCCTCAGCGGATTGGTTCCAAGTATAAGAAAGTCATGTTTGTGGAGTATGAGGATGCAACCTTCAAGCGGAAGATGTCGGCCCAATCGGACAAGGGAATTCTGGGGCCTGTCCTTAAGGGAGAGGTTGGTGACCAGCTTAAGGTAAGGGGGACATTACTTTGTGCAAAGGCATCCTCGAAAGGGGAACTTCAGAGCTTGGTGCTGTTCTTCTCACTCATGCTGAATTCATCAGAGATGCATAGAATTTGGTCCAGTTCCCTTGATTTGACTTCATTGGAGGCATCTTAGGAAATGTATGCATCCATCCATGGAACAGGCTATTCAGTACCTTCTTCTAAGACAAAAGCATCCTCTTCTCCTTCACTTTTCCCCATCTGTGTGCTGTTACTACACAGTGTTGGGGACTGTTGCTCATATCCTCCTGTATCCCTTTACTGACCACTTAACTTGTTTGCTGCTCGGAAGAACGGGATGTTTTCCAGCAGGGAAACCCAGCCTGGAGTTCTCTATGTGGCTGTGGGCTCGGAGCTGAAGGTAGTGCCTGTGGTGAGGCCTTGACAGCTATTTAGGGAAGTAAATAAAGTGCTTTGCGTGGCAACGTGGAGAGCACTTTGATGCTTCACTGCTGTGTATGCTCAGTGTCTAGGTCCTCGGAGACCTTTTGGGTTGAAAGATCTCTTCTGTCTCATATGGAAAGTGAGACTAAATATAGCAGTCTACCCTTCAATAAATGTGCTGTTTTAATGCACTCCCCAAATGTGCATTAAACCTCCAGGAAAAGCTTGTAGAGAAATATACAGTCATGTCATCTCTTCTGCCTCTTCTCCCTTGGTCCTGGACACATCCAGGTTCATTCTTCCCTGGCCATTGCCAAGCAGCTGATTCCAGAGGCAGCTGCCCAGCCCTTCCCTCCTCATGAGGGTCCTGAGAGAAGCTTCAAGGGTTCGTGGCACTCAAAAAGTTGAATGTTCCTCCTGGCCATCCTCATTTCAGATCGTGTTCAAGAACCTGGCAAGCCGGCCTTACAACATCTACCCTCATGGGCTCACCCACGTAGGGCCATACCACGCCATGAGGCCCTCTGAAGGTAAGGCTTAGGGGGGGTCTCTTCAATTTGGGAGGTCAATTGGCCAGTTGAACAGGAGAGACTAGCACAGCCTGTGATGAGACTAGTTAACTCATCCATTCTGAGTGCTTAAGACCTGGAGATGACACTGGCTCTGGGTTACTGCCTTTTTGGTGCTGCGTAGCCCCCGTTCAAGCCCCCAATGTGTGGGCTGTAACCACCCTGGCTGATCCTGCTGGCTCACGTTCTTCCATCCCTGAGCTCCTTCCTGCCTCCTTTAAAGTGGGGCTTTCATGGTGATTCAGACTCTACCTCTCATGGTACACGGTGGCTTTGGGGTTGCTGTTACCACCTCCCCTTCCCAACACTGCATTTGTGCCCTGCTCAGATGCTTCCAGGGACATTGCTTGCACAAGGCCATCCCGCATCCCTCCAGTGTGCTCCCAAGGTATCCCAAGTATCTCAAGGATACTGCTCCTGCAGATCCACCTGCATGCACAGCAAAAGCCCGTATTAGGCATCCCTCCTGCTTAGGCTCCACCTTGGAACTCAAGTGACTTCAGGAGTATCCAACGCAAAGTCCCTTTTGTGCCACCACAAAGCTCTTGTGCTTGGGTTTGGGTAATTTTCCTTGTGACTGGTGTGGTTGGGAAAAGTCCTGCCTGGACTGCTTTCCAGAGTGGGCTCACCCCTTCCAGGAGCATTTTCATCCTTACCTGTCTGCCCTTTGTCCGGTGTTACCAGCTAGGGATGTGAAGGACATTCCTGTTCCCCCTGGCCAGTCGTTCACCTATAGCTGGAGGGTCACGACTGAGGATGGACCAACAAACGCAGATCCTCGCTGCCTCACACGTTTCTACTACAGCTCCATCAACCCGACCCGAGACACGGCCTCAGGCCTCATTGGGCCCCTCTTGATCTGCTTTAAGAAATCCATGGATCAAAGGGGAAATCAGGTAGGTCCTTCCAGGTGTGGCAGACAGAGAGCATCTCATTTCCTCTGAGAGGTGGGTGCTCTGGCACCTTAACTGCTGGGCTGAGAAGCTGGAATAACTGTGGTGGGTGGAATTTTTTGACTAAACTGAATCTGATTCTAGTTACCCTTCCTGCCCTCTTCACCTTCATCTTCTTTCTAAACCCCCTTGTCTTCCCCATTTTTCATTCCATGGGCCTTTCTCTCCAAATGTGGACCTAGCCCCTCTGAAAGAGCAGTAAAGGACTTCACATCCTCCCAGCAGTCCTGCTGGGAGTTGTGGGGCCTCTCTCATCACTCCTTCCCTCTCTGCCTCCTAGATCATGTCAGATGAGACAAGGTTGGTGCTGTTCTCGGTCTTTGATGAGAATCGCAGCTGGTACCTGTCGGAGAACATCCAGCGGTTCTGCACAGACCCAGCCCACGTGGACACGCAGGACCCCCAGTTCTACGCCTCCAATGTGATGCACAGTGAGTGCCCGAGCCAGATGGTCCCCACAAAAACCTCCATCTCTGCTCCAGGGCACAGGCATCTCTTCCTTCTGAGGGTGGGTGATGACCTGAAGCCCCACACACATGCCCAAGCCACCCCTCATGCACAATGAACTAGCAGGGAACACACAGCAATGAAGCAATCATGGGAGAGCTGAGTTCTGTTGAACTGTCTCACCCTGCTCCTCTCTTCCAGCTATTAATGGCTTTGTCTTTGACAATCTCCAACTGAATCTCTGCCTCAATGAAGTTGTGTACTGGTACGTCCTAAGTGTCGGCGCCCAGACAGACTTCCTCTCTGTCTTCTTCACTGGGAACACATTCAAACGCAACATGGTCTTTGAGGATGTGCTTACTCTTTTCCCATTTTCTGGAGAAACGGTCTTCATGAGTTTGGAAAAGCCAGGTTAGTAACAGGGAAGGTTCTGCAAATCTACAGGCTGGGCATCTTGGGAGAGATAAGAGAGCGTCTTTGGTCATGGTGATGCTGGGCTCTAGCAGCCCATCTTTTTTTCTGTGAGAAAAGGAAGAATGATGAGTGTGATGATGAAATGGCAAAATGAATGCCAATGGTTAAAATTTCCCCAAGGTTTAAACCAAGGAAATGGCTTAAATTACTTAATTCATAATTACGGTGTCTTAAGGACCAGGCAATGTGAAACTGATAACCTTACTGTAGCAACTTGAGCCCCATGGACCTCACGCCTGTGTGTCCTTGGCTTGGAGATGGAGCAGAGCAGCAGCACTGTCCTTGCTGCAGGTTCAGCATGGTTTGAGACTGGATTGCAAATGCCAATGCGATGGTCATGTGTCTAACAAAGTCTAAGCCTTCTCTGCCCCATGGCTGCGGGACCAGCCAACATGGTTTCTAGATGCCACAGCCTTGGCGCTCTTCCAAATCCCAGCCAACCGTTGCATCCACTTGAGCTCTGGTTTTGCTCGCTGATACAAGCAAAGTGAGCAGCTCTGCTAGCAGGAGATGACAGCTCACTCCAGCGTCAGCGCCTGGTCATTACATCCCTCCTCATCCCTGCGGAAGACATGCCGAATGTTGGCTGGGAATGTGACCAAGAGGCTGGATATTCATTTCATTTTGCCCGAGGGAGAAAGACGTGATGACTGGGTCTGGGATAGAGGTGTATTTGGCAGCTCAGGATATACTTGGGGGTGGATGATAGTGACTACACTGCTGCTGGGAACAAGCCTGGAGGCACAACAGGCTCTCACTGCATTGACTGCCTCTTGCCAAGCTCTTGTGGTGGCCTTGCAGGTGCACCTAGCTCTCGGCTGACCCTGCCAGCATTTCTTGTCAGGATCTTTTCTAACGCTGCCAGCAACCCTGATGTCTTAGGAGTCTGGCTGGAGGATATTTTAGGGATTATGAGAACAGGAAATTACTAGCGTGAATCGGAGGCTGCTGTAGAAGACAGGGTGCACTAGGAAGGGAATACTGTGGGGGTGGTAGCTCTCCCGACTTCCCAGTGCAACAGGCTCATGATGTCCCCTTGTCCTTCCTGGGCACAGGTGTGTGGATGCTGGGCTGCCTGAACCCGGATTTCAGAGACCGAGGGATGCACGCCAAGTTTACAGTGACTCAGTGTCGGACTGAACAGTATCCCGATGGGGAGGATTACCCGGATTATGAGGAAGAGGACACCATCATATTACAACCCAGGGGCTTCTCTAAAAGAAAGAGGCAGCGCAGGCCATGTGTGAATAAACAACCAAACAACACTTCTTCAAGCAACGAGACAGAGAAGCCAAGACTGTGCTCTACAGAACCCAGCCACAGGGCCCTGATGAGTGATGGAAGTCATTCTGATCGCACTTCAAATGGCACATCAGTGTTTTCAGGATCAGTCCCAGGTGATATCTCTATGTCCTCTTTGCCAGAGGCAAGCTATGACCCAGTGTCTTATGAATCCTTCCTGGAAGATGAAGAATTATCAAAAGCCATCAGCCAAGTTCAAGGATTTGGGACTGTCCCACCTGGAGAAAGCTCAACGAGTGTCAGTGCTGCGAGCTCAGAAACAAGCCAGCAACGGCTGCACCAGGTCACAGCGGCTCCAGAAAATGCTCTGGCAAGAGAGAAGGTGACAAAAAGCTCAGAAATGCAGGATCCAGCAAACGGGATGATGATCCAGACTGCTAGTACATTACAGGTCCTGGAAGTGGAGGCTCCACCAACTCTTCAGTCTGGAGAGCAGAAGACTTCATACACTGTAAACTCATCAGAAATGATTTCTGCTGCTGCTAGCAGAGCTCCTCTTGTAGGGAACAGGAGCTCCTTCCATCCAAGTGACCTGGAGCACAAGCCAGCACTTCAAGGCATGTCTTCACAGAGTGCTAAAGATAGATCACTGAAAGGGACGGATAAAGTATCCTCAAATCTATACAAATCAAGGGAAACAATCAATAGAGATCTGACCTTAAGCATTGATAGTAATTCCTCTCTCACACTGGCTAATCCTTCAGCATCTTCAGGCAAAAGAGAAGACAGCAGGACTTCTCAGGCTGTAGTCCAGAGTCACACTGAAGGAAGCAATCATTCTTCAAAGGAGCTAGATGCTAGGCTAGAAAAAAGACCTCCTGAAGTGGTTTCACACGGCTTATCTCAAGCTTTTGAAGTGATGAATGATTCTTTGTCATCTATGGGACCCAGCAAATTTATACAAGGTCAAATCTTCTCGGAGGAGAGTAACTCCTTGCCTGCAAAAAGTGCTACAGAAAAAGAAGCCAGTAAATCTGCCAAAAGCTCAAGCCCTCTGGAAGCTGCCTTTGTGCAAAGCAATGACCTTGAGCCTTCTGGTCGTATCGTGACAGAAGAGACAGATGAATTGATTCTGGATGCAGTTTTTCAAGATGCTACAGCAGCCAAGGGGTTGCCAGAGATGGACGGTCACGCCTTCCCCAAATCAAACGTCACGTCCATTGAGTCGGGGCACTCACAAAACGCTTTCTTGCAAAGCCGGGAAAGGTTTAAGCGCGGAGCTCCAGCACTGAGCGTGGGTGGCCCTGATCGGAGGCACCGAGAGGCCAGGTCAGTGGAGAGCAAGGAGGAGCTTCCCGTCCCAGGGCCAGAGGTGGCAGGGTTGATGCCTGCTCCAGAAGCTGGATCACATGGTAGCAGAGAAGGTGACAAAGTGGAACAGGGTCCATCTGGGTGGTTGAACGCGGGCAGGGGTGCCCTGAGCAGCAACAAGGGGGCTCAGCCCCACACAAGCTCCTTCCCTGTGCTGGGAACACCAGTGAACAAGAGGGCAACTGCTGGCAGCAGCTCAGAAATGAAGGCTAGAGACACAGCCTCAAACTGGGACCCAGCCCCTCCTGGGACGGCGGGACATGTGGTGGGCATGGAGAGCCACATGTTAGCTGAGCGGCAGCGGGGCAGGGATGAGGTCCAGAGGGCTCCTTGGAGGGATCAGGCTCAAAACAGGAGCCTGATGGAGGAGGAGACAAACTCCGTGGAGCAGCAGGGTCAGCAGAGAAGCTGGTTGAGCCCCCGGCCTGGGCTAGATGAGGCCAGCGTGGAGCAGGGCTCTGTGCCTGGGAGCACATCTGGCCAAAGCTCAGCAGAAAGCCCTATGAACCTGACCTCCACCAAGAACCATTCCCTGTCCCCAGCTGACCCCAGCCGCCTTGCTAATAGGAAACCATACAGCCCTCCCACACAAAGCAGTTCAGGTGCATGGCAGGTGCTTGGAGAAGACAATGCCCTTGGACAAGCTGGGAAGGGAAAGCGCCAAGGTCTGGAAGGCCCTGAGGAGGATGGGGAGAGCAGCAGCGTGGCTGAGAAGAGGAGCCAGGCCCCAGAACACCTGGAGAACCCCACTCTAAACAACAGGACTGGTTCCAGCACCTCAAGGCCAAAGACTACCAAGTCAGACTACGACGACTACAGTGACAGCGAGCAGACCATGGAGGACTTTGACATCTATGAGGAAGAGGAGCACGACCCACGTTCCTTCCAGGGAGAGATCAGGCAGTATTTCATTGCAGCAGTCGAGGTGATATGGGAATACGAGAATCAGAAACCCCAGCACTTCCTGAAAGCCACGTAAGTGTCCCTGGCCCCTGAGCATTTCCCTAGCACTGCATTGCATGGCTTGATGTGCGAGATGGGGGCTCCTGGCAGGTGGGACCACCATTCTGAGCAGAGCAAATGGTGGGGGGATGTTTCCAGAGCCATCTCTCCACACAGAGATTCTTGTATCTTCTGACCCCGAACTTCCTTGCAAATGGAAGGGTCTGCTCAGCTTTAGGGTCTGCTCAGCAGCGCTGCTTTGCTGGTGGATCAGATCTGCCCAAATCACTCCCAGCAATCACTCAGCTTTCCAGCCAGCTCGAGGGCTGTCCCTGGGCACCAATGAGAATGGTCCAGTTGCGCCTTCCTGCACCATTCGCTCCAGGCTTTGCAGGAATCCACATGTTCAGGCCCATGTTTGGGTCATCATGGATGTATCTCTGAAGTGCTCCTGGAAGAGGACACAAGCCTGGAGCTGCGCTGGACAGGAGGGTGCAGACTTTGTACAAGGGCACGTGGCTGCACCCTGGGGTCCCAGCCCAGTCCTGCCACGCTGTCCTCCCTCGACTGGAGCATCTCCATCTGCATCACCTCCCTCATCCCCGCAGGGAACCCTTGCGTGGCAGGAGGAAGCCTTTCCGGCAGTACCGCAAGGTGGTTTTCCGAGAGTACTTGGACAATTCCTTCACCCAGCCGCTGATGCGTGGGGAGCTGGATGAGCATCTGGGCATCCTTGGGCCGTACATCAGAGCAGAAGTTGAAGATGTCATCATGGTGAATTGAAAGCCCTCGTTCCCTGTAAACCCTGATATATCTCCCCCTTCCCTCCCACCTCTGCTAGCATGGAGGTAGCCCGTGGATCCTCTGGTTCCTGAGAATTCATCCTGAGGGCTTGAGGGTTGGGAGCTGCACCAGGTCAGAAGCAGGGTGGCCGTTCTGAGGGACCTCAGCAGCTGGAAAACAGGCCAACAGGGTGTTTAGTGAAGGCAGCTGCAAAGCCCTGCACTTGAGACAGACCCTGCAGACCCATCCTCTGCAGCAGCACAGCCCAGGCAGCTCCTGGGCTCTGCCACCTTTGGGGTAAAGAGATTGTGAAACGGGGGCCGAGACAAGCAGCGTCCTGTGTGAGAGCAGAACCTGGCTTCACTTACTACCAACAGTCCTTCAGGATCAACCCAAGGACCAAGGGCTCCTGACTAGGCTTGGCACTTGTATGCCTGGGGATGTTGCCCAGGTTTCACCAGAATCTTCCCCAGGGTGGGTTCAGCACCTCAGCTCACCTTGGCTCAGCTCTGGTGAGCTTCCATTAAGCCAAAGGAGATCCTCATTCTGCTGACGTGTCTCAGGATCACACTGCACAGACCCAGATTGGGGTGCAGCAACAGTTGGCCAAGGCATGGGGTCCAGCCGTGGGTCTGGCCACCAAGGACATCTCTACCTTATTCCCATGAGCTCTTTGGGACTAGTTGCAAGCCCTGCAGTGTGGACCAGGGCTCTCTAAAAGCTGCTCCTAGGCCTGCCCACACTTCTCCATCTTCATTTCCCTTTGGCACAGGTTACGTTCAAGAACCTGGCATCGCGGCCCTTCTCCTTCCACTCCACACTGCAGGCCTACGAGGAGACGCAGGGCGGCGTGCAGGGCCAGGAGGCCGTGCAGCCCGGCGAGCTCCGGCAGTATTCCTGGAAGGTCCTGCCCCAGATGGCCCCCACCACCCAGGAGTTCGACTGCAAGGCCTGGGCTTACTTCTCCAACATGGACCTGGTGGGTGGGAACTCGTGCCGTGAGGCACTGATGGGGAGAGTGGACAGTCTGACGTTGGGGAGTCAAGACTTGAGCACTTTTGGTATAGTGATGTGCTCAAAACAGCTCTTGGCTGTGTGGATTCTCAGGTGTCTAACATGGTGGTGATGCCTTCTTTTCTCCCTTTGTGTTTCTTCTCTTTCCCTGAGATGAGACCAAAGTCTCATCTTTGTGAGCCTTGTAGCAAATGAACATTGCTGAGTCCTTTCCCCCTGTCAAATCTGGCTGAATTTGGCCTTTAGGCTCCGAAATTAGTAGCCCAGGCACTGCTGGGCAGTTGGGTGGATGCACAGGCGGCATCTCCTCTGAAAGGGAGAGCAAAAACACTCCCTTTGGCAGCCCTTTTTAGCTGGGGACAGAGAAGACACCCCATAGTGAAGCCCAGTATGTCCCTGTCAGCTTGCTCTGGCAGGCTGTGTGCACGAGGCAGTCGTGGTGGGAGCTGGGACACCAGGACCCCCAGTGTCCCCACCTCTGAGGCAGATCTCTCTCCCTGGCTTCCTGGCAGGAGAAGGATCTTCACTCCGGCCTCATCGGGCCCCTGATCATCTGCCGCCGCGGGGTGCTGAACTTCTTGTTCAGACGACAACTGGCAGTGCAGGAGTTCTCGCTGCTCTTCACCATCTTCGATGAGACCAAGAGCTGGTACTTCCAGGAGAACATGGAGAGGAACTGCCGCCCACCGTGTCGCGTCCAACAGGACAATGTTGACTTCAGGAGAAACCATTCCTTCCATGGTGGGGAACCTTCCTCCTTTTCCTCCCATTCCAGAGTCTATGCTGGACTGGGAAAGGGGTTGCTCAGGGTCCCCGAGCTGTCCCACGAGCTGCTTGTTCCTGACCGCTGCCTTCCCTCTAGCCATCAACGGCTACGTGAGGGACTCGCTGCCCGGGCTGGTAATGGCTCAGCAGCAGCGGGTCCGGTGGCACCTCCTGAACATGGGCAGCACAGAGGACATCCACTCCGTCCATTTCCACGGGCAGCTCTTCAGCATCAGGACCAACCAGGAGTATCGCATGGGAGTCTACAACCTCTATCCTGGTGAGATCTGAGAACTGGGAACTCCATTTGGTGGGAACTGGGCAGCCACTGTGCCCACCACGGCTGTGGTGGCTTCATGTCCACGCCAATTAGAGTGTGCCAAGCCTGGTGGGGCAGAGCCAGGATGAGGAATATATGTGGAAGAGCCTTGCTCTGCATTTGCACCATGGCATCCCGTTACGACTGGTAACTGCCCTTGGCTCTGCTCTCCTTTCTTGGCCAGGTGTCTTTGGGACAGTGGAGATGTGGCCCACGCACGCCGGGATCTGGCGGGTGGAATGCAAAGTGGGAGAGCACCAGCAAGCCGGGATGAGCGCCCTGTTCCTCGTGTACAACCCGAGTGAGTGACCCCGCGCGCGCTCACCCTTGCCCAAGGAGGGGTGGCAGAGGGGACGGTGGCAGAAGGACGAGAGTCCCACAAAACCACGTGTTTTCAAGGAACCCCCGGGCTCCTCTGTCCCTCGGGACTCTCAGTTCTCCCTGGGAAACCTTTTACTCAACGCATTTCTCCCTTGCTTGAAGTAGACATAGGAGGAAATGGTTTGTGAGACTGACATTTTATCTCACGCAGTGACAGACTCTCTCCTCTTGCTAAAGGAGCTTGAAATGTCAGCCGGAAAATATTTCCAGAAGTTAAAAAATCTGCTTAAAATTTCAAATCCACAATTTTCCCAGAAACGTTTGCCATATGCAGCAATGCCAAGACATGGGATCTCTGAAAATAATAGTCACTCTAAGAGAGAAACAGCCCAGTGCCCAGGAGACCAGAAGAGCAGCACTGAAGGACAGGGGTGTCAGGCAGGCTTCCCTTTAACAACATGATATTTGTTTTTAAAAGGGCTGCCTAGCAACAAATGGGCCCAAAGCAAGACATGGGAACGGGAGACACTTGTCGACATAGCTGGGAGATGAGGACACTGGGGTGGGAGATCAGGGTCGTGGGGACAGGAGGACGCAGCGCCAGCCTGGCGCAGAGCTCATGAGACGGGATGTGCAAGAGCCCTAAACTGCAAGGATGGATGGGGACGCACCCCAAACCCAAAGCGTGGTGCAAGGTGAAAAGGCCTGGGGGGCTTCTGGGGGGCTTGAGGCACCTGACCTTTCCTTCTGACGGCTTCCTAATGTAACCAACGCTCCCTGGTTTTCCCCATGCCTCTCCTGCTTGGCCACAGACTGCCGCGGTGCCCTCGGCCTGGCCTCTGGCCACATTGCAGACTCGCAGGTGACGGCGTCGGGGCAGTACGGTGAGTATGGGGTGAGTATGGAGGTGCTGTGGCAGGGCGAAGCCTGAGCTCGGGGCAAGTTCCACCAATGCAGCTCCAGTGGTTTCCACGGTACACGGGGCTCCCTGGAAGGGGCATTCTCCAATCTGCCCATCTCAGGATCCCCACTGGGACCTCTCTGGTCCATCCTGTGCTGTGCATGGCTACTAACCCCCAGGTGAGCAGAGATGCTCAGGTCCTGTTCTTGGCTGTGCCTGCCTTGCTCTTGCTCCTCCATGGATGAACTTCTCACTACCTTGGGCCAACCAGCACCAAGATGAGCTGGGACCAGTAGCACCCTCTTACCTCCCATGTGCTCTCCTCGCAGGGCAGTGGGCCCCTCACTTGGCCAGGCTGGATAACAGCGGCTCCATCAACGCGTGGAGCACCGACCGCAGCAATGCCTGGATCCAGGTAAGAGCAGCTGCCGGGACACGACCCAACGGGCTGGGCAGGAGGACCGGACACAGGGCTAGTGCCATGCAAACCTCCCCACCAAAGGGAGGCTACTCTCCAAATCTCACTTCAGGGAATGGTAGTTAACAGTAGTTAGGAGTCTCGTGATTGTCAGCTTGGCCATTGTCAGGCCAGGCCGACCACCCAACCCATCCGGAGCGCAGTAGAGGAGCCACCTCAATGGTCCAGCTGCAGCAGAGGAGTCTGCAAAGATGCCCCACAGGACAAGTGGGAACAGCTCCTCTCTAGCAAAGAGCTCTCCCTGTCCTCTTGACTACCACGTGCCTTTATAAACTACTATTTTAACTAGTTTCATAGCCTGTACTCAGTTACATCACGAGAAAGCAAGTTCCATGGGTTTACAATGAACTGCCTAAATGTGGGCCGCGTTTTCTTCCATGAAATTATTCCCTGTGTTTGGTTCCCAGGTGGACCTTTTACATCCCATGATCATTCATGGCATAAAAACCCAAGGGGCCCGGCAAAGGTTCTCCAGTCTCTACGTCTCCCAGTTCGTTGTCTTCTACAGCCTTGATGGGCAGAGGTGGAAGAGGTACAAGGGCAACACTACCAACACCCAGATGGTGAGAGGAACGGGCCTTGAGCAAGATGGTGTCTTCCCAAAACGGGGTCTCTGGGGGTGACAAGTTCTGGGAAGCTCCGTACATGGGATTTAGATTTCCTTGAGCCCTGCAGATGTTAAAGTAGGGCAGAAAGTGTCACTACTGGAATGACTGATTCATAACTCAGCTCTGCAGAGGGCTTTCTCTGCCCGTCTGTCTCATTTTACATGATCTGACTGCTTTTTTTTCCATGATCACCTGTGGCTGTGGGATCCACTGCTTAATAGTGTGATACCTACTTATTTAGAGCGAGAGAATAGATTTTGTAGGAGAAAAAATAAAGCACAACCTCAATATTCACAAACTGATCATTTCAGCAGCAGAAGTATCTATAAAAGTCTAAGAAGCCTCCAACAAATGTGGTCAAAACACTTCCCAAGTTCAAAAGACCTGGGATGGATACCATTTTATTTTTTGGCTTGGTGAAAAATGGAAAAATAAGTTAATTTGGGTGGATTCTTGAGCTTCTCCCCGTTCTGTTTCTTAGTGGCTCACCCTGATTTGGCCCCACTCACATTTCACGGGGTTGAGCTGCATGTAACTTCAGAGAGCTGTTGCTCTCCTGTAAAACAACAGCAAGTGTTAAAAGTGTCCAACTAAAGTGGCCTTGTCCCTGCTAGTCCTTGTCCTGTCCAGGTCTCTTCCTATTGGTACCATGGTCCCTTCTCTCCCTTTCCCTGCAGCTCTTCTTCGCAAACGTGGATGCTACTGGGGTGAAAGAAAATCGCTTCAGCCCTCCCATCATCGCGCGGTACATCCGCGTCAACCCCACTCACTACAACATCCGGGCCACGCTGCGCATGGAGCTCCTGGGCTGCGATCTGAACAGTGCGTTCCCCCTCCATAGGCACCTCCTCATGCCAAAGCCGGGACACGATCCATGTCTTTTGTGACCCCCTCAGCACAAGATGGGCTGGAGACAGGAGCAAGGAGGAAGCTGGGGATGGGAAGGAGATGTAGGAGGAAGAGCGCTGGGAAATCTCATTGTGGGCTTGGAGATGTCACCATCCCAGCTTTGTGTGGCTGGGACTCCTGGTGCCTCTGGCCTCCACGTTCTCCATATATCCTAGCAGATGCACAGATTCTTCAAATTGCTCTAAGATAAAATCCCCAAGGATAAAAGAAGCTGGGACTAGTGGCTGGTGGAGTTGGGGATCCCCGAGACGGACTCAAGATGGGGACAAGGGCCCTGAGCAGCACGGGGACCATGAGACCAACAAGGCACAGCAGATGCTGTTAGCAGGGAAAGTGCATGCATGGCAGCTGGCCCATGGGCCACCAGCACGCATCTCCCCTGAGGAGATGGTCCGTGGTCCTCCCTGACAAGCATCGCTCCCTCTCTTCCAGGCTGCTCCATGCCCCTTGGGATGGAGGACGGCAGGATCCCTGACCAGCGCATCTCAGCGTCTTCCTACAGCACCAGTGTCCTCTCCAGCTGGTCGCCCTCCCAGGCCCGCCTGAACCGCCAGGGCAGGACCAACGCCTGGAGGCCCAAGGTAGCCCGGGCAGGTCCCCACGGGCCGGCTGGGCACCCCCAGCCCCTCCTGGCTCAGCAGTCGCCCAGCAGACAAGGGGGGACCTGTGGGCAGGACATGTGTGACACTGGGCTCTGAGCCAACATTTGCACCCAGGCAGGGCTGGGACATGGGTAATGTGGGCCAGGGCTATTCCTGGGGGCCAAGGTGGTCCTAGGCTACAGCGGGAACATGGAGGGGGGTTATTGGGCTGGTAGCAGCTCAACACAGACACGGGATGGGGCAGGGGGAGCCCAGCATGGTGCACAGGGTCAGCTTGGCTCCAAGCATGGAGCATCCCTGTCTTCTGGCTCCTGGTGCTGTCACCAAGGGCTGTGTGTCCCCCCCAGGCCAGCAGCCCTGATGAGTGGCTGCAGGTGGACTTCGAAGCGACCAAGAAGGTGACGGCCATCATCACCCAGGGCGCCAGGGCTGTCTTCACCAACATGTTCGTGAGGGAGTTCGCTGTCTCCAGCAGCCAGGACGGCGTGCGCTGGACCCCGCTCCTGCAGGACGGCAAAGAGAAGGTCAGAGGCAGCCCCGGGTCCCACCGCAGCCCCTGGTTGCAGCCCTTTGCAGCAAACAAAGGGTTTGTGCAAGAGCACGGAGCTGGCCTCCAATTCCTCTCCCCTTTGCAGATTTTCCAGGCAAACCGGGATCACACGGGCACGGTGCTGAACGCCCTGGAGCCGCCGCTTTTCGCCCGCTACGTGCGGATCCGGCCGCGGCGGTGGCACAACCACGTCGCCCTGCGGACAGAATTCCTCGGCTGCGACACGCAGCAGGAGTACTGAGGCTGCGGGCACGGGCACCGCCAGCCTGAGGTGGCCTGTCCGGCTCTACACGGCGCTCTTGGGACCGGGACCACGGCCACAACAGCCCCGCAAGGACCCTGCACCGTGCGGCTCTGGTGCCATCGTCACCAGGTCCACCCTGTGCCCTGCCAGCAAGGGGAGGGTCTGCAGAGCTGGGGGTGGGCAGCAGGGTGCCACCCGTCTGTCACACACCACCCGCCACGTAGTCAGACGCGATGATGAAGAATTAAACTGTAATTTTCCAATCTCTCTCTCGCTCTCTGCTTTCCCCCCTGCACTCCCCCAGCTTTGAAGTCCCTGGGGGCTCCGAGTCAGCATTACCAGCAGCTAATAATTAATTAGCCCCAGAGGCTCCGCAGTACTTCCCAGGGCCCGGCAGAGCCTGGGAGCAGCCACAGCAGCGATAAGGGCCAGGGCGGGCGGCCCTGCCGTCACCCCAGGCACGTTTTGCAATCACGGGGCTCGGGCCTGAGTCAGCACTAGGCTCCGGCCCCACTTCCCTTCAGTCTCCGTCCCCTCCCGCTCTTGCCTCATGTCACCACTCGCCTTTTCCTGCTCTCCGGCCGAGCCCTCCCTGCTCCTTCACCTGTGTCGCTCCTGGGGCCTCCCAGGGCTCCGGGGGGGTTTGCCTGACACCCCTTTCCATGCTGCTGGTGAAGCGGCTGGAGAACATAGGGACACCCTGGCAAGACGGTGTCACCTGGAGAGCTGGTCCCCCAGCTCTGCGTTCAGCCCTTCCACATTCCCACCCCTGTAAGCAGTGACGGTGACAGCACCGCTCTGTCCCCACAGGCCAGGAGAGAGTCCTTGATCGCCCCCCTCCACACACCACCTTTTCAGCATTTTCTCATGGGAGGAGGACCCCAAAGGGCCACCGAAGCCCTAATAGGGCTGGCAGGGTCTCTGGTGGCCACCGTGGCGGCAGAGACCCTCTGTGAAAGACTCACGGGTTGGTGTCACCAACCCTCTGTGTCCCCCTGGTCACAGGGACCCCTGGAAGAGACTGCGACCTCAGAAAGCCCCGGAGCTCCCTGCAGGCTCCAGAACCGGATGGTTCCCAAGGACCCGTGTCAGGAACAGAGCCCCAGTGTCTCCTCTGGGGTGGCCGTGTCCGTGTTCCCGAGGCTCCACAGTCCTGTCTCCCCCGTGCCGTGAGTCCAGGGGGGCACCGGGGGGGTGACGTTACCCAGCGCTCTGGCTGCCACCGTCTTGCCAGGATGTCCCTACGTTCTCCAGCCCACTGAAAAACAGGACTTCCCGCTCCTGGCCGGGCTGCCAGGCTGGCGGCAGCAGCGCGGGAGACGTGCGTGTCCCCGGGTCCCTCGGCAGCGCGCGTGGCTGCTCCCTCCGCAGCCCCATCCGCAGGAAACGCGCGGCCCCCGGGGAAGGGCACCCAGCAGACACCAGTAACTGCCGCTTCCCGTGACGTGCAGGGCTGAAAAGCCACCGCCCGGCTCCACATTGCTGCACAAGGAGCCCTTGCGGTGCCTCTAGCCACAATTACATTACAGCCCCAAGCAGCAGATGCAATTAGCCTGGGGCTTGATTGCATTCGGACAATAACCGGGAGCATCTGTGAGCAGCCGGGGCCTGTTCCCGCCCGGGGCAGGGCGGATGCTGCCGCCTGGAGCGTCCTGGGGCCGGGGGAAAGGTCTTGTCTCCAGCTGGGAGGATGAGGCTCCTCCTGCTCCTCAAGCTGCTCTGCTGAGCTGACGGGAGCAGGAAAGTGAAGCCAAAGGCCTGGGATGGGGTCACAGGATCAGTGAGTGCTGCTCTGGGATGTTCTCCAGTGCCAGACCTGGAAACACAGATGCACCCAGTGAGAGGGCTGTGCGGAGCCCCGGAGAGCGCTTGGAAGCGGCTGTGGGCAAGCGGGTGCACGTGCCAGAGCCTGCTGAGCCCCAGCACCAGTTACTGCGTCCCCTGATATTGTCTCCAAGGGGTGCAAAAGGTGCAACACCCACCGCAGATGCCCCACGGCCCCTGCACCCCAGCCAGAGACCGTTCGGGCAGCAGGAGAGCCGGATTCTCCAAGCAGCCCACCTCGGTTCCCCGTATTCCCAGGAGGGAACGGACAGCCTCCCTCCTTTGGTCTGCCAGACGTCTCTGTGCATTTCCCTCCCGCGATTTATGCCGCGCTAGCAGCAGGGCTCCCGCTTGCCCTCCGGGTTTGCCCTCCTGCCCCGGCAGCTTCAGCGCTGCCCTCCGCGGTGGCAGTACCCGGGCAGCAGGGAGCCAAGGCTTCTCCTGGAGGAGGTTGGCCCTTCTGAGCCCTGCCAAGGACTCCCACTCCCACTCATCTCCCCGTCTCTCCGGGATGGCCAGCTGGGCACGGCAGGGCGCTCAGGTGGCCTCACCACTGGGGAAGGGCAACCTGAATCCTAGTTCATTGCTCCTCACCATGATCTAGCTTTCCAGCTTTCCAGGGATCCCAGTGGACAAGGAGTTGCTGCTGGGTCATGGGAGCCATGCTCCCCAGAGCTGTCCTGCTGCTTCTCCTGGCTGTCCTGGCCACCGCCGAGCTGGGCCGGGGGAGGCTGAAGGCCAGGCGGGAAGCAGCCCCCAGGAGACCTCTCAATGGCACGGACATCAGACCCGGGTCCCCTCTTGGCTCGGGCGGGAGAGGAGGCTCCATCCAGCCCATCCGGCGTGAGTGCCCGGCGGGATCCCACCGCTAGGGCCTGGCACCACTGCAGGTCCCCAGCACCCGTCACCGTGCGCTCCGCAGGCGTCCGCCGCTCCTGGCTGGCCGACTACCTGGACGACATGTGGTGGCACCTCCGCGAGAACCTGCCGGAGGCCGTGCTCTACGTCCTGCCCGTCACCCTGCTCGTCCTGCTGCTGCTCTGCTGCATCACGTACGTCCCTCTCTCCCCGGGGCCTCTGCCTTTGCCCTCTGCACCCACCGTGTACCAGCTGGGTGAGACAGGGCAGGACGAGGAGGAGATTTGCAGGGTAGGAGGCTGTCCTGGGTGTGCAAGTCGTAGAGAGAGTAAATATGAGGGAAAAAATCAGGGTCCCCAAGCACAGAATTTATAGGAAGTTTTTCCCCTGTCTTCCATTTCCAAGGACTTGTACCCTCCTTCTCCTTGTGTCTCAGGGTGGCTTTAGACTGAGGAGCCCAAGGAACACAGAGAGGAAGGACAGACATGCAGGAAAGGCTGGTCCCTTCCTTGGGGACTGGTGCCTTGAAGCCTCCTCAGAAGCACCCAGTGGCCAGAGACGGCGGAGAGACCAAAAGTCAAAGCGCTGCCCTTTTCCTGTTCCAAAGAAGGAAATATCCCCCTACCCTGAATGAATTTTCCCATCCCCAAATAAGATGCACCTGGGACTCTGTTATCTATATGACTCGTGTCGAGATCCTAAAGCAGATCCCTCCTCAGCACACAGGTATACAGGCACTCGCTAGCCCACCCATGCCCACAAGCAGTGCACAGGCATGGCAGGATGCCAGGTGTCCCACGGGATGGGAAAGCCTGGAACGGGCAACATGGCAAACGCAGAGCACAGACGTCCCTCCTGCAGCCGCTCACTCAGCACTCACACGGCTCTGGCCAGGCCTAAATTAATTAGCACCTCCTATCAGCTGCCTGTGTTAATATCCTGCCATACAGCACCCAGATGTGCCTGTTCTGATGGCTGCTGGAGCCCAGATCCCCTGGAAAACTCTCCTCTGTGGAGAGACCCCAGCAGGCCCAAGCAGGTGGTCTGTGCAGAGGGGAGCCAGGTTCTGTCCCAAGTTTTCCAGCCTCAGCTCCCACCTTCGGACCCAGGGAGCTGCTGGGAGCAGCCAGGTGGTGATGGTGGCTGCACCGACACCACCTTGGATCGGCCTTCTGGCCACCAAGACTTGGTGCCCAGCTCTTCCATGCGTTTTTGGAAGAAAATTTGGCCCAAAAATAAATTGCAGGCCAATGAGGGATGCAGAGCCACTGGCAGGGAGGGAAAGGGTTGGGATGGGGTGCGAAGAATGGAAAGGGGGAGATTCCCTCCCCTGCACCCACCGCTTGGCTCTCAGAGCAGCGCGATGCTTGAGGTGATGCCAGCGTGGGAGCCAGCCGGGTCCTGGGGAGGGGACACCCCCATCTGCAGACAAAAGGGGCCTGTGTCCCCCCTGCAACATCGCAACCGCGGCCGGGAGCGGGGGATGAGGGTGGCCCCGCTGCAGAGAACGGGGAGAGCCCGGGACCGCGAGCCGGGACCGGGAGCCGGGGGGGAGAACCGGGACCGCGAGCCGGGACCGGGAGCCGGGGGGCGGTAGCGAGGGGGGGTGCCGGGGG